AAGTCTCCAAACACAAAAATGTGAGCAAACGGGTGGAGGAAGAGAGCCTTGTCTATGTTGTCGGAAATGCTATCAAGTATCTCACAGTCTTGAGAGGATGGAGAGCGGTAAAGGAAGAAGAGATAGCTTACCGCATTGAAGAGAGAGAGTCGGAGACACATGTATGACTGGTCAGGCGATTCGAGAGAGGACTCTCTGGCCAGAGGGAGATGTTCCTTGACGTAGACACCAAGACCGTGCATGTGGGTTAGAGAGTCTTTTCTGAGGAGAGGAAGATAGCCGGGGATCGAGAGATCAGAAGAGGGGATAGATGAAACAAGGTTTGTCTCGCAGAGAGCCAGTACATCCGGGCCGTTTGCAGTGAGGAAAGATTCCAGACTGTAGAAGTTTGTCCTAATGCCCTGGATGTTGGAGAACGAAAATGTTGAGGGGTTTAGGTGGTTTCTGAGAGGCTGGTTTAGGGTTAATCTTTCGGTTTTTGTAACTCATGTTGGGTTTTATTTGCAAAAATGAGAAGGCCCGAGGTAAGAAAAAACAGACAATTTCGACCGTGGACGCAGGCAGAGATGAGTTGGCAAAATCCGCATCATTATGTGGCCTCAGGGCTGCCCACCGGAGGTGACTGCAGGGACACCTTTCCATGCGCCACATGGCACTACAAACACCCGGTATTATACAACTGTTGATCAGAGCAGCCGCTCAAGACGCTACGCAAGAGTTAGGGCTCCTAACTACCAGTTGGAAACAGCAACCAGAGAACTGTCAGCCGTGTACCCTCAGAATGAAGAGATGTTGCCACAGACTGCACGATCCGCGGGAGAAACAGACCTGCACTAATACAGAGGCCGGAGAGAGAAGACAGTACCGGGAACCCCTTCCTAAACAAGAAACAAGGTGTAAGCCTCTACTCATGTCCAATAGAAGGGGGAGGAGTGTTGACCGGGCGGTAGAAGAGACTACCTACTCCTATTACAGATAACACAAAAAAGGACGACACAAGACAGAGGGAAGGATTGGAGGGGGAGATAACAGGTAAGGAGTCCTGGATCACAATTAGCTATACCCTATCACATTAAGTTTTAACTTACTATAAGTCCCATTGTCTATTCTAAAAAGAAATTGAAAATAAGGTTACCCAGGTTACCCAGAAAAGATACTGTCACAACATTGTTAGAATACTGATGAGACACCCTTGCATCTAGTCAAAGACATTCAATTTTCCATTTTTCTAGTTTTTTTTTTTTTGTTAACATTTCGGACCGGGATTTCTTACTAAACTATTAAATAAGTAGAATCATTGGGACAAAATGCCTTTGATGGGGAGGAGGGGGAGGAAAAAAAAAAAAAAAAAAAAAAAAAAACAAACATAAAAATAAAAATGTAAAATGTAAATGCATTCAGCTAGGAACTCTCTTCCAACAAGTTGACTGTCTGTTTGATGGTGACTGAATATCGTTATAATCTCCCTGGTTATTCAAGCCCCCCACCAAGTGTAGATATGTCAATAAGATTTGGAAAGATAGAATGGCTAAAACAATTGCCTTAACAATATATCAAGCAAAAGGGTACTGTCACCATCGTCATCCTTCTAGTCAAAGACATTCAATTTTCCATTTTTCTAGTTTTTTTTCTTTGTTAACATTTCTATCTGATTTCTTACTAAACTATTTAAGTAGAATCATTGGGACAAAATGCCTTTATGTCTCTAATGGAACTCTCTTCCCTTCTCCTGTTTCCCTGTGAGTTATAATCTCCAGCTATTCAAGGTAATGTCAAAAAAAAAATCTATATATATATATATATATTTTCTATATATATATATATATATATATATATATATATATATATATATTTGATTTGACACAATTCACATAAAAAAACTATTTGAAAGATTAAGAATTTGTAAAATGATGATGTGGTTCTTATCAAAAACTGCCAATTTTGTAGCTCATGGATAATTTTAAAAGTTCTGATTAAAATTACTCTCTTAACAACCTTGATAAGAATGTTGCCAGAAATATTTTCAAATTTAATGATACAAATAAAAAAACATTTAGTACTTTATGAAATGTGAAAAATAATCCTTTCAAATTTTATGTATATTTAAGAATTAAAAATGTAAACAAACAAATTTGATCCTGACAGAAATTGAACCCAGAACACAAGCATACCTTATAATTTCATAATTAGAGATTTAATTTGACTATATAGAATAAGAATTCATACTCTGTTCATATGAGGGACTATTTGGCATTTGTTTATATATTCAATGATAGAAAAAGTTATTTTAAAAATTAGGTTATGAATAAATCTTGTTTACATAAGATCATTTGATGAAAAATTTTAACTCTCTCCTTCCTTTTAGCCGAATAATACAGTGGTTTAAACAATTGTAAATATTAAACCAAATAATTCTTTTTAATTCTATTCATACAAATTTTGTACATAGTAATTAAAATAAAAAAAAATTATGGTTATAATCAAGTTTTTGATTTTCTGAGTGAAATAATTTTTGTTTTCATTTGATCAGTTTAAAGAAAATAAATCTAATAGAAAATTTTTGTTTTGGAAATGAAGAAACTACTGAACAAAGGAGATAATAAAATGAAAGTCGAAACATTAATTTCTACAAAGGCTTTTTTTTTTTTAAATAATTTTCAATAATCTTGATTATTTACAGAAATGGATGACTGAACATTACCAGATTATGACAAGGCATTTTAAAAAACATCAACATATTCACAAAGAGAATAAGTCTAAAATAAACGAAGAAAGAAAAATTATTTATGATTTAGTTTTAGCTTCCTTAATGAACTGGGCTGACCTAAAATGAAAGATTATCAAAAAGCATTAATTTTATTATTCATTTTTAAATTATTATTTAAGTGTTATCTGATAGATTTTCACCAATAATAAAAGACAGCATTCAAAGATAATTTGCATTTGTTTTACAGAAATTACAAAACGAGCAATAGATAGTTACAAGTTCATAATTAAAAAAGTACATATTTTCTGAAAGGAATTAGAAAGTAATTAACAGGATTAGATTAACAAATTCTGTTCATCAATTAAATTATAATAAACCAAAAAGAAAGTCTCTTATGATGACACAGAAAGTTATTTTAATTTACAAATAATTATCCTTCTGACTTCATGTTTTTAATACCAGAATAATTGACCAGTTTAGATATTTATAACTAACCTTTCAATACAAAGGACCAGCCATAGTTTAATATTATATATTAAAAATCTCAAAAGGATAGAACTGACAATTTTAGTGATAAAGTGGATAACTAGATATAACTTATGTTCAAAGATGAAAAGATATTTGCAATCTAAAACATTACTTTATAAACATGGAAGCTTTGTTTTATTATCAATTCCAAGATGAATTCACTATTTGATAGAAAGCTGCTGATTTTTTTTTAACATAAAATAACTTTTTTTTAAGGAGGGGAATAATAACCTTACTGAGGTTGTGCAGAAAATAAACACAAATTGACTTGTCTTCATGGTTTTGAATTTTTTTTAATAAAAGGCTGTGTTTAACACAGGTTAACAAAAATGTAATTTCAAAATATTTTTTCTTCTTTCACTTTTTTCCATTGTCTCCATTTATTTATTTTTCTCTTTTGAAAACAATCATGTCCGACATCTTTACTTTTCCTAGTTGATAACCAAGTTACAATGACAGTGTAAAATAATTGGTTTTTTATCTACAAAATATTCACAAAATCATACACGTGAGATATAAAAGGGAGAAAGAGAAATCAAAGGAAGTGTAGAGAAGCTAAAATCATTTCAAGACAATCACATTAAGATAGCTTCTTATTTTGTCGGATTTTAAATCATTCTTCAAACTTTTTGGGGGTTGTTGGATTCAGGGAGGTCCTTTTCTTTGTCTGTACATTAGGAAGTAATGTTCAAAGAGAAAGGTGGGGCACCAGGGATATGCAAATTCTCATTCTGTTTATTCCATTCGGCATGTTATCTACAGTACATTTTACAGTCTCCAGCAATTGTCAGCTCAGAGTTGAAAATAGTTAAATCAAATTATATTAAAAATGTTATCAAAATGATTTTTCTCAAAATATGTGTGTCATTTAAACATAATTGAAGAGTAAATACAAAAGAGACTGGAAATCAAGGCGTGCAAGAAATGGCTTTGGACATTCGGAGGGATATGTTGTTTTTTTTTTTTTTGTTCTTTCAAGTTTTTTTTTCGGATGGGGACACACGAAAAAATAAGAGTTAGGTCAGCAATTGATATAATTTCATCAGCTCAGTTGAACAATCAAAAATTTTACATTTATCTTTATAGCATTCCTATATTTGGCATTGGTGTAAATCATTATTGTTGCTGCTTGCCCTTATTACTGGTCTTGTCTTTGATTACATGCACTTTGCAGAAAGAAACTAAAAAATTTTTTTTTTTCTCTTCTGTATCAGTTTGTTTTGAAGGGGAAGGTAAATGAAATTTTTTCAAGATTTGATATGGAATGTCATGTAATCTGATTTAAAATTTAAAACTGACTTTACCTCATATTGCAAATACCTGCTTAAGTTTTAACAACATTATTTTTTTTTAACAACTGCTAAAAATTTAAAAAAAAAAAAAAAAAAATCAGTGACATGTTGAAACTAAAAGCAATAACAGCCCCAATGCAGAAACAATCCAGTTATATAAATTCACTTTATATACAAGAAAGAAAGAAAAGAATCTTGTGATTTTATGTTGTACACAAGACACAACTGATATAGCTTTCCTAGAGTTGTTTACTTGCTTTCTGCTTTTTATTAGTAAAATTCATCAGAATGGGCTTTTTTTTTTTTACAATTTAAAAAAAATGCTGTCAAAAGTTTTAATGTATTTATATATATATATATATATATATATATATATATATATATATATATATGAGGAAAAAATAGCTTCTGCAAAAATATTTGTGCTGCATGGTAAATCAATAAAAAAAAAAGGTAAAATCTTTTTTTTTGTTTTAACTGAGGTCCAGGGAAAAAAATTCAAACATTAGCTGAAGAGTTTGGTGTCCTTCTACCACTGGGGATAACAGCATAAGTGGGATCTGCATAGTCATATCTACCATTTGAATGATAATCATACAGATCTCCTGAAGAAGCTGGAGACTCCATTTGTATTGAATGGGGCCAGGAAGGAGGGGCACTGTGTCCCCCAGGCCGAATGTAAAGCCATGGTTCATGGCTACTTTGAGAATTGTCCTGTGGTTTATAATGGGGATTATCCCTGTGATGACGTGGTTGTTGACGTGGTGGCTGATTTCTACAACCATTGCCATGCCAACCTTCTCTGGATCCTGCTGGGTAAGGGGGAGGATGCTTTGGATGAGGTTCACTTGGATAATCTGGAGGGTAAAAACGTTCATCTCCATTTGGTTGTGGGTTGTAGGGGGAACATAAGGTGGTATATGTGACTTCTCTTGATAATTCAGGTGTGCATTCATTCTGTCCAGAAAAAGAAAATAAAATTAGTACAAACCAAACATTGCCATTTTTTTTTTTTTTTTTTAGTCATTGTATTGAAGATAGTTCCAATTAATTTCTCAATCTTTGGAGTTTTAAAACAAAACAGCCCTCTGATGAAGGCACTAAGTTTGAAGCATGAAAAACAAAGAACAGAAAATTAGTCCAAAATAAACATTCATTGGATTTTCTTTATTAAATTTTAGAAAAATACTGTAGTTTTCATTCACTAAAAATATTTGACTATTTAGGGTTTCATATTTAATCTAGCAATCCAGAATTAATAATTTAACAGTGGTTCTCAATCGGGGTTCATATGGACATGGGGGTGGGGCAGTTCATGTAACATTAGTGTGGGTCCACAAAAAAAAAAAAAAAAAAAAAAAAAAATGGGGGTGGTCCACAGTAATATTTTATTGGTCTATAGAGCACTTTCACTTGGAATGGTTGTTACAACCGAGAACTGGAATTTCTTATTACTCACATATTTTAAAATGGTTTTTATTACGAGTTATTTTACTAGTGTACGTAAATGTTCCATAGAATTTAATTGTTAAATAAAAGTTTATTTTATTAAATTAGTTGTACTTCAAAATAAAGCATATATATATATATATATATATATATATATATATATATATATATATACACACACAGACACACTTACTATTCTGTAATTCCTAAACTTATCTATTAGTAAAAAATAAAATAAGCTTTTTTTTTGTCAAATGGTTATGAGGCCCACTAAAAAAGAAAAAAAAATGAGAGTAAAAGTGGATCGATAGATTGAGAACCACTGATTTAACACATGGCAATAATTTGTTTGTGAATTTTGTTCAAAAGCAGACTTCTAGTTTTCAACCTAATCAAAAAAAAAATTTTAATAATTTGGCTGGATTTTGATAAACAAGCTGGGCTGAACTGAGAACTTTTCAGCATCTCCCCACCTCATCAGACTAACAATCCTTTTCTTGCTACCATTATAAAAACTAATATATAAATTTCTTGAAGAAACAGAATTCACCATCTTTTTTCTTAGGGATTAAGCTGTTAACATGGAGGGAGGTGCTTCCTTTATATAGAAGTTTTAAAAGAGCTCCAAAAATATATACCATATTTGCTGGCCTATTGAATGCAGATTTACTAATACAATAGTATCATGTATCAGTGGGACATGAAGACCATGAAAAAAAAAAAAAAAAAAAAAAAAAAAAAAGGTGGGGTTCACCAGGAATCAGTGCATTCATAGAACTTAGCTGTCAAACTAGGAATCCTGGAAGTGAACAAACATGATATCAATAAAAAAATATCCCTGAAAAATTCACCCAGGAAAAAGGAATTAAGAAATTTATGAAACTGCACAATATTTTGCTGCTTGTTTTGTTGAAATATCAAATTTTACAGAAATATTTGCTTTGAGCATTTTTGTCGAGATACAGGTCCTGGAATTTGCTTTTGTTCATGTATGATATGGAATTTCATTTACCAACAAATACTATATTTCTGTTTTTTTGCCTATTACCATATGTACCAGTGTTCACTGATACCAATAGTTTTTTTTGTAGCTATTATAAATTTACTGTACGTGCAGATGTTGCTCCCCCCAAAACAATTTAAACAATTTTCAATAAATGCATGATGAAATGTACTAAAATTCTTCTTTTCCAAAAAATGTCCTGGTAATTAAACCTTACTTCTATTTTAAAAAAAAAAAAAAAAAAAAAAAAAAAAGTACCAGTATTATAATTTGTGCTAAAACTGTAAGTGTTTCCTCATGGTTAATGAGAATGTCACATAAAGGTAAGGTTATAATTTTGATTTTCTTTGTTGCGATGTGTGCATTTATTTTACTAAATACTCCATGCCAAAATCTGGGTGCTTCCATTAGGCCAGCAAATACAGTATATTACCAGCAATTTGTGTTATTATGGATAGTGAAATATGTATACTATTTAAATTATTCGGACTATTGTCCTCATCTTTGTCGCCATATTTATTATGTTTTGGCCATTGTATGCTCCAGCCTTCTTCAGGTGGTTGGAATGTCAAACTGAACCCTTTATTTCACTCACTGGGGTAGACTGTTCTAGTTCCATGTGCCATGTTTAATGGATGTCAGTTATCAGTTATCTCCTGTTAATTCTCCTTCATCCAAGTTCTCCACTAACACCTTTATCCACTGTGCCCTGTATCCTCAAGAACACAGGGCACAGTGGATAAAGGCGTTAGTTAGATCCATTGACAGAACCCAAAGAGCATGAGTTCAATACCTGGTTAAGGAGGTGGAGAATTTGGAGAAGGGGAATTAACAGGAGATAACTGATAACTGGCATCCATTAAACATGGCACGTGGAACTAGAACAGACTACCCAAGTGAGTGAAATAAAGGGTTCAGTTTGACATTCCAACCACCTGAAGAAGGCCGGAGCATACAATGGCCAAAACGTTGTAATAAATATGGTGATAAAGATGAGGTCAATAGTCCGAATAATGTAAATAGTGTACATAATACCTCATCTCAAAAATATAGACAGATACTGAAATATGTATATTGTAGATATAGATTTCACATATACACATGACAAAAATGGATAAGGCTGAAAGATTGTGTTAACAACACCAGTAACATTGATGCAATCTATAGAGGGTTTATTATTTTTAAATTTTAGGAGAAAAAAAAAAAAAAAAAAGTAAAACAAGTAGAATTATTTGAATACTTAAACATGCATTATTAAAAACTTTCTGGTTATAACAAGAAAAATGTTTTTTCTTATGACAAGGTTGATGCAAGTGCTTATGACATAAATTGATTTTAATGTCTATTGTGCAGGAAAATGAAAATGCAACAAATGCAATAACATAGTTGACATATTATGAACACATGATTTTAAAATGCATGCCTTATATATGTACAATTTAGTCAATAGTAAATCTGCATTAACAGTCCTCACAATCTACACTATTTTAAAACCTCCTTTGCAATCATTATAGTGCTATTTGATAAGCTATTTAAACTAGAGTAATAATGAATCTTGTGTTTATCATAATCAAGTGAGTATTCTGTATTCAGGTGTCAATCTGGGTAACCTTCAGGATATTTTGAACTAAACCATTTATTTAATCTACAGAGGCAGATTGTTCTTATCCTGTTGTTTATGTTTAGGGATATTGCCTCTGTTTTTGTTTTTTTTTAATACTGCTCAGTTATTGCTCACCCAGTTTTCACTGAACAGTACTAAAAAGAACAAGATGAGAAAATAGCACAACAGATGGACAGTGGAAGGCAAAAATCTACCTCCAGAGATTAGATAAAGGGTTTCAGTTTGATGTAAACTGAAGGATGGACAGAGAGCACAAAGGATGAAACATTATAAAAACAAAGAATAAGAATTAATTTGAATGTAAATAATGTAAATACCAATAGAATTATTTTTAAAAATCCAGTGACAACATAAATGTTGATTAGTTTAGAAGCCTTAGTATTAATGTTTTTAGCAAGGCTGTCATTTTCAGTTTAGTGTAAGTTTAACAATTTGCAATTTTTTTTCATTGAGTGCATGTCTCTCTCTCTCTCTATATATATATATATATATATATATATGAGAGAGAGAGATAGCAGTGATAGCACATGTTTAGTGGTCATACAGTCTGAATTGGATTTCAACTTAGTGACATTTGTTTGAAAGTTCAATTGGAAAGAAAAGGGCCATATAATAATCAGTGATTAATCTCAATATATCTTTTTAAACATCCTTACAACTAAAAAAGATTCATTAGTATTACAGATGAGGAAGTTAAATTTTTATCATAATTTATGCAATTGTTGCTTTAGCTATAAACAGCTAAGAGTCGTCATAAGAATTTGTAGAAAGAGAGTGTCATGCTTGATCAAGTACTAACTAAAGAGACAGTCACTGCTGTTTACTACCAGCAACAGTGGTGGGGCAGTGCAGAGGGTGCTGGCCACGGTGCCTGTTCTGACAGAAACCTGCCTGCCTACCTGTCTGCTTGTTCATTGGAGGTTAGTCAAGGGGAGAATCACGTCCAAGAGATAGCAGGGGAGGCATACCTTTCATGTGGATTGGGCCGCCCCCCTGGATGGTGAATCTTATTGACTATAGCATACTCAGCTTCTGGGTAAGGCGGCTGTGGTGGGGGTGGTGGTGGAGGATGTTGGTTTTGATTACTAAACTTCTGGAATAGAAACATCAAAATGTGAGAAATCTTTAACAAAAAGAAAAAAATATACGTTAACCTTAACATGGACAATGTAGCAATTTTACTCACAGAATTTTAAGAGATTTAAAAAATAAAAAATGATTTTTAAATTATCAACCTACAATTTTCATCCAGTCTGTCATTTTGTTTCCACATAAAATTACATATTTGAAGATTGAAATATTTCCACACAAAAATATTAAATGGGAATATTCAGATTATTTAAATAATCCCAAACAAGTTTAGTTTGATTGAATTTTAACAAGATTAACTGAACTTACATTTTTAAATTTATGTCAATGATTTATGCATTTTACTATTTAATAAATAATGCTCTTTTTAGCAAAATTTGTTGTATTAAAGAAAATGTAACAATTTACCAAAAAATAGTAAAAAAGACAAAAAAAAGAAAAAAAAAAATCTAAATGAAAAAGAAAAGAAAGCATTCCAAAAAAATATGTCTAACCCTTCTTTCCATTTCTTGCAAGTGTCTTTCATACATCTCTTCTTGTTCATCCAGAGGATATCGACCCTGACGTTCTTGGTGTCTTCGTTGATGCTCTTCTCTCAACTGTTGAATTTTATCAGTCCTTGTGGTTGTACTCACAACATAAGGTTCTGTGTAATAAGGATCACGATAACCGGGCCGCTGTCTTGGTACAGGAGCACGGGAGGCTAGATATGGAGATTTAGGGTGTTCAGGAAGCCTGGAAAGAACAGTATAATATGAGTGAAGAGAAAAAGTTGACATTTTATTTTTGCCTCATTTTAAGAAAAGTTACACAATTAGTATAAATTTAAAATTTATTTCAAGATTTAACATTCAGTTAAAAATCTTGTAAATACAAAACCAAGCATTTTTTTTTGTACAATAACATTTGCAATAATCTTGCATTATCTGTATTATCATTAGTTAATCTGGGTTCAGACTGTGTATTAGGGAAGGAGAAAAATTCATTTTATCAAATAAGGTCAAAAACTTAAAATGACAACAGAAACAAAAGTATTGGGTTATATATTAATGATATATGTTCCAACCTTTCTGGATCAGCTCTTGGATTTTTCCAATTACGATCCATTTCCAAAATCTCTGGCAAAGGTTTATCATTCTTTTGCTTCCCAGAATTCTCTTTCTCTGCAGTTTGATCCTTGTTGGCTGCTGCCTTGTCTTCTTTGTTGCTTTTGCCAAATCTAGAAAAATAATAAAAATATATATGAGAGAAAAATACAAGGGAAAATCTTTTGCTATCATAAAATCATATGGAATTTAAAATAAAGGATAATTTTCCAGGCTATTAGAGAGAGAGAGAAAGAGGACGTTCATGTATGCATGTCAATGCAATAATGGTTTTACTGTAGAGAAGCAGTAAATGCTTGTTATTAATCAGCTTTTTTAACATTTCCATATAATAGGTCTTTATGAAACTTACATTGCCAGGTGTGTGCATGCATTATATATATATATATATATATATATATATATATATATATGTAAAATTGTATGAAAAACATTACTTGTGGAAAATGTGCCACAAGTAAACTTTTTCCACTTTGTCAAACAATTTCTACAATACTGTTCTCTCTCTCTCTCTATATATATATATATATATATATATATATATGTGTGTGTGTGTGTGTGTGTATGGTATTTGGGCAGAAGCCCCTTTTTTATACAAGTTTCATTAAAGACAACAAGATACTGCAGCATTTTATTTTATTTTTCTTGCATTCATACAAGTGTTTTCTTTTCTGGATATTAAGTGTGTAAAAACTGTCCAAAAGTTCTACAGATCTAAGCACTTTTTGCTACATTCTTTTAGCCATTATCAAGGATGATTTTTATTTTTTTATTCTTCACTGAATGTGTAGGTTTTTTTATGTATCTGAAGTTATAGGAATGTTTTATTTTTCAAACACGGTTGTTACAAGATGAGATCTTGCCCTGCTTCGATAAACGGAAGTTACCATCACGAGTCCCCGACTCGAAATGAAAACTACACGTCTACGCATAGGCTCGACGCAGATACTTCCATTTGGGATAAACTCGAAAAAAAAAATGAAAAGAATTAAATCAACCAATCGGACCGTCTCCCGCGTATTCAAAAAATTGCCATTTGGAGCCGATAGGCGTGTATAAGTTCAACACGGGAAGGTCAAAGGGAGTGCCACTCAACGGCGGAGGCAGAAGAGTCACGTCGCTTGCTCCTGACACACTGGCCCGGCAACGAAACGAAGCATGTGACTGCTGCTGCTAATGAACTCTCGTCCGACACCTTGTCAAAGGGTACCTTTCCCTCAACTTCTTAAATACGAACTTTTTACTTGTTCTTATTTTCCTCACTAAAAGAGTCTATAAAATATATCTACAGTCTTTCTTGTTCTTTCGATTCTGAATTCCATTGTTTGCAACCAAACGCAGTATTTCGCCCACATTGATTTCACATCGCCCACGTAACTAAATACGGAATATAACACGGTCAACACGTTGTGGCTGGGTTCATAGTTAATGTTATTGAGTGTTGGCTTTTTCCTTTTTATTATTAATGCTTTCATTATTTTTAATCTTTTTTTACATGTGTATGAGTTTATTATACTTGTATTTTCTACTAGTATTTTGCAGATGGAGTTTGGTAGGTTTCCGTACTTCACACTTTGTGTCCAGAAAAGAAAACACTTGTAGGAACACAAGAAAAATAAAAAGCTTAACCACAGTACCTTGTCAGTCATCTTTAATGAAACTTGTATATATGATAAAAATATAGTTTTAAGGTATGCTAAATTCATGAATTAAAGTGCACAATATCTGGGATAGGGCATATGTAAAGGTCTATTTCATGCTTAAATGTTAAGCATGAAACAGACTAACTGCTGGGTGTTAAGCTTTATATATAAATGGAAGCTGAGGTCAACATCAATTGGTTATCATCTGTTTCATGCTTCAATGCAATCTTCAGTGTTGTTTTGGATCAACTACTTATATATGCTGGTTAGTGGTGCATTATGTCTAGTAAGGTCTACCATATTATTCTGACTTATTAGGTGGGTGGTAATGGTTGTTTCAGATTATTCTAGAGGTTATTCAGTAGAAATAATTATGGAACTGAATGCAATTCTTTTGCTAACATTTTGCTCATTATTTATTACTTAATTATTTGTTGTATTATTATTACATTTACTTGTGTTGCCGCTTGGTGTTGATCCCAGTGTCCACTTTCATATTTACCTACGTTATCTGATAGTGAACACACACACACACACACACACACACACACACACACATCTCTCTTTCTTAGACCACTCAGCCACATAGGCCCTCCTGATCAAACAAAGCCTTTATAGTGCTTTTGAACACGCATCTTTCTGATTCATCAGATCTAATGACAGTTTCACCTAGTGGATGCAGGTTCGAATCTGGCAGAGGGGGCACACACATATATATATATATATATATATATATATATATATATAAGATAATGTGGACAAAATTTAAGATTGATTTACAACTAAATTTAAAGTAAAATCCTGATAAATTTATATTTCCATATTTTAAAAACTTTAATATTGTTTTATATTTCATCTAAGCAGTTCACAAGTTTCTCACATTCTCCAGAGTTCTGTAAACATTCAACTTTTGTCAAACATTAGAGAATATACAAAACCGAATTTTGTTTTCAATAAGATGAAAATTTACAAAAGTCAAATCCATTTATAAACTGAAATGATTTTGATATGAAATTGATCAAAATTAAATCTTACTTGAAGATTCCTTTAAATAAACCCCCACTTTTTCGATTGTCGCGTTCTTTCTTCTTAGTGGCCTTAGTAACTGGTTGTGGAGGTTGAGCCTGTACGTCCTGAGGGATAGAATTATCTTTATGGGCTACAGGTCTATGTACACGAGGTGGAAGTTGCCCATGGCCAGGACCAGAGCCAGTGTCACTATTTTCTTCTTCAACTGAAACAAATACAAAAATGACATTTGAACATTTCCTTATCTTACACTTAATATAAAAATTGTTACAACTTCAAAATAATAAAAGATTTAATACAAAACAAAACCTAAAACAGGAATCCACACTACAGACTGTAACAAGATGTCATAAGAAATACATAGGTGAAACATTTAGGAATTTAAATAAAATAATATATAGACACAAAGAGGATATTTTTTGAAACCACACACTCAATGCATTAAACATTCATTGTAATCAAACTAGCTATGACTTAAACTTAAAGAATGCAATTAAAAGGGAAAGAAATTTAAGGCAAAATGTATAGAAAGTGCACTAACTTCTGAATCCTCCAAGGTAAATTTATGTCCAGTACATTACCTTAACAAAACTAGTGTTATCACAATATTTAAAAACTTTGTTGATAAAAAACAAAAGCAGTTGAATGAGGTCAGCTAGGTTGTGGTTCTAGAAACATTGAATGTCAGAAATTTAAAGTTAAACATCCTTGCATTTTCTGTATTTCTCTTAATGTATAATTATAACCAATATTTGTTTGTGTTTCATCCCCTCCCACTATATATATATATATATATATATATATATATATATTAAGAAATTTGACAGGTGGAAAACATTTCATTGAAAATGAAATATATATATATATATATATATATATATATATATATACACACATATATATAAATAAAATATAGTTTTAAGGTATGCTATATTTATGGGTTAAAGTGCTCAATATCAGGGATAGAATGTATTTAAATATAAAAGTGGATATTGAAGTCAAAACCCAGTGACGACAGTGTTCCACATTTATATGCAATCATCAGGCTGTATGTGTTGTATTTTTACTCGACAACTTATATATGCAGGTTAGTGATGCATTGTGGGTAGTCTATTGTATGATATGACCCCCACTTAAAATTAGCTTCAAAAGTCACATTTTATATTTTGTATTTATATTTTGAAATTGCAAAAATTGTCATCTTTTGGTTGATCTACTATGTCAAGAGAAAACCTCAAAAAACAAATGGGCATAAGAAGCATTTTCTTCATTTTGTAATGATAGTCTATCTTACTGACGCTTAAAAATTGTAATGTCTTTATAGATCTATTTGTATTTAGGTTGTTATATATATTCTGCATAACAATCAAATCAGTGATTAAAATAGATTACACAAGAGACTTAGTATAATAATTCTTCACAGATATAGAGTAAGAAAATATCTATATGGTTTGAAGACAATTGCACATGTGTAGGTTTATATACTTATGTATGTGATTAAACTTCTGTAGATGCTAAATAAAATCCATAAGGTAATATGTTATCTTCCAAAACAACTGAAAACATATTCATATCAAGTTTAGAACTGCATTTGTGAAGTTATTGATGTTTGAAGTATTTGGTGTGAAATATAACAATCATTTTGTTTTGTAAGTAGAGAATATAATTGTAATTTTCCATTTCATATTCACTGAAGTGGATGAACAGGGTCAGCCTCAAAACTCTGGAATCCAGATGGTGAAGGTCACATCAATCAGCTAAATGACAAATTTTACACACACTAATCCTCTCTCTCTCTCATATATATATATATATATATATATATATATATATATATATATATATAGATAGATAGATAGATAGATAGAAAAATGATAAAATATAGTTTTAAGGTATACTATATTTATGAGTCAAAGTGCTTGAGATCAGAGATAGAACATATGTAAATATAAAAATGAACCTTGAGATCAACACTCAGCGGTGACAGTCTGTTTCATGATTAAATGCAATTGTCATGGCCTGATTGCATTATATTACATCCATAATTAAAAATAAAAAAACTACCATGACAATTATTGAAAGTTTAGCGAAAGATAAAGGTTGCCATGAACGCAATCATAACTCAATGTTTATATTTTCTCAGCTAAGATTGCATCAGTACAAGTTGATTTCATTGATATGGAATTATTCTTTGAATTGGCAATTTATTATGAAGTTGCACCAGTAATATATAAGGTAAAAATGTTTTTATGAATTTTATTACCAGTTTGTTTGATAATGTGAATCTTTTCATGTACATTATTGGTTATCGCACCAAGGCTGAAGTTAGCCTACCAACAAACATAACTCATAATTTAAGTTTTTTTTTTTTTTATAATTATTCTATAAGACCAACCCACTAATTTTTAAGGGTGATTTTTGGAATTTAAAGGTCATCTTATATGCAGAAATATACTCTGTGTGTGTATGTATATATATATATATATATATATATATATATAAAATGCATCAGATTATCAGTAGCACTTGCGCAAATTGTCAAGAGAATACAGTGGTGTTCACTTACGAGTTTCCATGTTTTGTATAATGTGAGGAGCATTATAAGATCGATCCACGGCAGCTCTAAAACTCTCATTACACATGCGGCCCCTAGCCACACGCTCTGCTGCCCAAAAAGGAGGAGCTTGGTTTTCGAAAGCAGAGTCTGGAGTTGGCAGACTTTCCATGGAACTTGATCTTTTTCTCAGAGACATATCTGAATGCAAACCTCGAGCTGACACTGAACAATGTAGAATTATAATTGTTAGTAATAAGACAGTAATAGTATCTGAAAGCAGCAAAATGCATAAAAATAAATGAATCACAAATAAAAATAGCATTTAAAAGGCCTGAAAGAAAATGAAAAATATGAATAAAGCAAACCAAAATGAGACAAAAAGCATGAATTGAAATTACTTTGTAATGTAGAACAAAAGTAGATGAAGAGTGAAATTAAGAGAGAAATATTATCAAAAAGTAAAGTTTGTACATTTATAAAACAAATTTTTAGTTAATAAAATATTTTATAATTATTATTAAAGTAAATAGAAAATACAAACTGCATTATCCTTCACATTAAATAATACATTTTAAATAACAAAATTTAATATTTATTTACAATATTTATAAAATACAAAATGCACTGTGAAATTGTTCAGCTGTAAGAAAGTAATAAAAATTGAATCATATATCAGAAGTTATCCATCTCAAGAAGCAAATATTTTAAATATTAAACAGTTTATAGCTATGTAGATATTTTAACTTTATTAGTTCACTTTAAGTTTTTATAAAATGAAATATATTAAAAATTCAAACAGTAATATTAAATGCTATTATATATATATATATATATATATATATAGCTAGCTTATTTTATATTTTGATTTGTGGTTAAAAATTTGCCAAAACAAATTCTATTTTTTCCTTCTCCTGGTATAGATGATCATGATGTAAACAGATAATCATAATATGTTGCAATTATGACAGAAACATGAACACAAATTTCTATGCTACTGATCATGCAAGTAATTTTGAAAAATTACATTTTTTTTTTTTTTACGTAACGGAATTCATTTCTTGCGCTGCTTCAATTTTTTTTTTTTACGATATTCACACTGTGCAAAGCCCAAAAGTTATTTAAGGTAGAAGGTTACTAAGAGTCACACTTTATTGGGACATGTGCAGAAGATAACAGTTAACCCTAGACTTGAATAGGTTAAGATTGTAGTGATCAGGGAAGCATCCTTTACCAAAATATTTTAATTCATTTTACATTCTATTTTTCAGAGTTGAAATATTATCCAACAAATATTTATTTTCTTCTATGCATCTTTGTAATATTCCAAAAATAGGATTACTATAATCATATTGTGAATTGTGGTTTTCATCTTTAATTTAAAAAGTAATTTTAATTTCTAAAGTAATAAGTGAAAGAGTCATCAGCAATATGGCAATATTTAAACATTGACCACATTAGATGAATAATAAATGGAAAAAAAATCTTTTTTTTTTCTTTAATATTTTAAAATGTTCATAACTGATGGGATAAGTTACTAACATACAAAAATTTTAATAAAACAAGATTTCTAAAATCAAAAACAAATTGATGATAATCTTACAGTAAAACACTTAAATGCTTGCCAAATGCCTATATACTAATTAAAGGAAAATTACCTTTAAATGAAATTTCAGTCACAAAGCATTGGCCATGAGGTTTGTTTTAAAAATTATAGTTTGTTTTACAAATCTGAGAAAATATTGTCATGTAGGTTGTGCTAACTGTGCAGATAAAATAATAGAAATATTTTATATTCAAATATTTTTGCTTTGTCTAACCTTTTAAAAAAGTTCTATTTATTAAAAATACAAGGCTACTTGAATATTGGCTGTGACTACCATAAAACAATTTTATTCTGCTCACTGTCAGAAGATAACATTTGATAGTGTGTTATTTCTTCAACAAAGGAAATTGGTATACTTACTTTGGTGATAGGAAAATGTTTGTAAATTTTTCAGGCTGATCCATTTTTTATGAAATTTCATACTCATTTAAAATATTTTAACACATTTATTGGCATATTATATTTATTTGATATTTTGTTGTACATACAAATTGTATGAAAAAATTTTTTTAAATACAAAATAGAGACTATTTTCCTTACTTTTAATGAGAAAAATCCTAACATTAAAAAAAAACATACCTGGCAGGAAACAGGTTAAAACATATCCAATAAAAAAATAAAGTTATTTTAAACAGTGTTTCACAAGTAGATGCATAAGCTGCCTTTGTATAATTTTCACACCAAGGGAAGCATTTGCCATAAGTATATATAAAGTAAGAGTGGTAACTCCATTGCTATGCCATCAATCTGTCTATATATTTTACCATAATGATCATGTAGAAGTATCTGTATGATGCAGACTAAAAGTTTATACAGAATTATTACTTTGTTGTTGGATGCAAAGAATATTTAAATAAATTGTTGTATTATGTCTGTGGGCTTCTTTGACAGAAACATTAGACAAGAGACTTTGAATATCTAAAGAGGTAAGTATAGCATTAGCAGGCATATTTGACTATAGTATTTGAAATTCATTAGTAGGATTAATGCTAAATTCATTTAGTAGATATAATAGGGTCAGCTGGTTTAAATATAGATATAAATTTATATATATATAAGGAAGTGAAATTCTAAAAAGAATTTACTTATGATTTCACACTGAAACAGTGGCAGAGTTAAATTTTATAAACTAAATTCTGGTAAAGCAGCAACCAACCATGACTGTTAGTTTCATGTGCAGTGCACAATCTTCAGGCTATTGAGGTGTGTATGTATATATATATATATATATATATATATATATATATATATATATATAAAAAAATCCATAAGGGTGCAAGGATAATCCAAGTAGGTCTTTTTAATATAAGATATTAAAAAAGATAGATCCATGAAGAGAGCTCAGTGTATTTATATACAGAGTAATATGATATACATCAAGAAGGAAAAAACTTAACACACACACACACATATATATATATATATATATATATATATATATATATATATATATATATATGGTGGCCTCTCCTATCGTGAATGATAAATGAGTGTCGCCAATTGATGGTGCTTTTCGTTTTACACATGCATGCTAGCAGGGTCTATTGTGGAGAAAATCAGGTAAGGGATAGACATATTTCATTTGTGCTTTCTTAAGTGTGATACTAGCCCAGCATTGCTGCAGGTGACAAAGCCATATTGACAGATGAAACTTGCTAAAGCAGGATTTTGATGGCATGTCTCCTTCAGAGCTTGATAAAGCTGATCATGGTGCTTCAGTCTACTGTCTTCAAAATTCTTTAACATAATGAAACTTGTCTTACGCCACTCCTTTTGGTTTGATGGTTGGGCTTCTCAGGTTTTCAGATCAAAGTTGAGATGTTTCAATTTGTCTCTGTAGCCTAAGAGTGGACATCCAACTGAATGCTAGGTAGTTGCCCATACAGCATCTTTTTTGGCAAGCCTATACTCATCCATTTGCGCAACACGACCAGCCCACCCAAGTTGTATCTTTGCTAGAATGGTTTCAATGCCTGTGATGTTACATTTCTTCAGTATTGCACTATTCTTGACCCTGTCATCCCATTTTATATCACATATGGCATGAAGATAGCACATGTGAAAGACGTCAAGTTGATTTAGGTGCTTGTGGTACGGCATCCAAGTTTCAGCAGGGTTGAGTGAACGACTGATCTGTATATGTCGATCTTTACTCTGAGAAACATGTCTTTGGTGATCCATAACTTATGTTTAAGATTACCAAAGGTCGTGCTGGCTTTGGTTCTCTCTCTCTATAATATATATATATATATACACACACACACATTTTGTATATACAGACTACTTGTAATCCTTATTCGCGCATCACTACCCACCCTCCCAGAAAAGGATTTTTGAGAATAAACCTGAAAAAAATCTTTAATAACAAAATTCAAGCAAAAGTAGTAAGAAGTCAAAGGAAATTTGCAGAAAGAACAAAGCAACAGCCTCACTTTCTCTGTAACAACAAAAGAGAAAGAAAGTACATATCAATGAAGTCAACTAATACATTCTTTATAGTTGACATGAACAGAATCCTATCACCAATACAAATACTACATTCTACAGTCAGATATTTAACTCTTCACACTTGCATTAAATTGAAAAATTTAAATAAACCTTTTGTAACTTTTCAGTCACTGCTTTTCTCTAAAGTGCATTTGTCAATAGTTTTACAGCAAATAAAGAAAAACTTTACAAATTAAAGAGTATTTTTATGCAAATTACATTCAAATTCATATTCTTTGATAGAATATTTAAAATAAAAGACTTGATAAAATATTTTAACCTGGAACAAATATTTAATATACTCATTGGGACAAATCTGTAAATGACAAGAATTGTTTTTCATTGAGGTTTTGTACATAATTGTTCTAATGTTTCTAGTTCATCAGTAAAACATTAAATTAAAGTTTTTCCAAATTGTCTTACATATTTATCATTTTATAAAGATGCACAAATTAGTTGACAACAATTATAAAGAAGCTAAAAGAAAAATTTCTGAGTTCTACAAACTCAAATTTTCATTTCAATCTTAACCTTATTTCAAAGTATGTAAATATTAATTGAGAAATTATGCCAATTATCATTCTAAATGTGTTTATTTCATTTTATTTTTTAAATTCCATTATCTTTAGGTGAATTTTCACAAATTAACAAATACACATGTATTTATATATTTATGTTATATTTTTTTTCTTAATTTTTCTCCTCTATTGGGACTTGCATGAATTCTTATTAAAACATACAAGTAGAGACAAACATAAAATCATCATCATTTTTTTTTTTTTTTAAGTGCTATTTTTTGCAGAGCAATTCTCATCAATTGTATCATTTTCAAGAACTTTATTCACATTGCCTGCTTTTTCTACAAAAGTTTTCTGCATTTTTAGCTAAAGGATTCTTATTCAAATGTAATGGTCTATTTGAAATATTGTAATCTGTCAAATGAAGTATTATACCCAGACTTATGAAAATCAATTGAAAATAAAAATTAAAGCAAGAGGCATAACAATAAATTATAAAAAGAGAATGATAAAACGCTCATTGTTAATAATGATTTTTCTTTTAACATGACAATGATTAAGATGAGGCATACATACTGTCATCATGCAATTTTGTGCCAGAGTTAACTTTGTTGCCAATGAGAGACTCCATGGAGCCAGCACGTATAAGGCCTTGTTTTCCAGCTGAAATGTCAGTAGTAAGAAACAGTGCATGCGTATATGATATAAGCTTCAGCAGTGGTTGCAAGGGAGATAACTAGTATAAGATAACGTGCAATACAAGGGAAAAACTGAATACTCTTATATTACAGTATTTTTCTAAAATATTTTACATGCTTAGCAGTTGTGAGAGGGAAAGTCAAAAATTATCTGCACTCTTGTCTGAAGATATGTTATGACGGAAGTGTAGGTAATTTTTGACTTACCCTCGTAAGAACATAAAGTACATAAACCCCAAATCAATATTTAACTGTTATTGAAAGTTATATTCAACATATAAATTCCCAGTTATTAATGAGAGAGAATCATTGAGTGCACAAAAAATATTGCTTTGTGCTAGATTATTAATCATAGTTCATGAATATCTTTGTTTATCTATTTTAAGCAGAAATGGATATTTAACAATTCAGTAATTATTACTGCACCCCTCCCTAAAAAAAAAAAAAAAATTTCAGTACCAGAAAGTGCCCGATTTGGCATTTGATTTTAAATTTAATAATATACACAAAACTCTGTTACTGGAGAGATTTTTTTTTTTCAAATGATTTATGGTAAAGTAAAACAAAAAAAAAAAAGAAGTAGCTAAACTGAGACTTAGTGTCATTAATAAAAGAGGTATATATAAAAATAAAAGAGTTATCAACTGTTTTAATAAGATTTCCTAATCTGCTTAGATTTCTAGGTGAAAAAAATATATTGACTATGGTTTAGATTTTCTTTTGGTAACAAAGTTTTCTATAGTAAATGATAAATGTTAAACATTTTAAAGGTCTATAGCCACTTGTAATTAAATGTTGCATTTTATAGATAAAAAAAAAAAAAAATCTATTCAATCCAAAGAAAATGGTTCCAGAAATTCTTTTAATCTGATTTTCGTGTATACCAAATCTTTTAACCTCAAGCAAAAGATTTTTCATATAATGCCTTTTGCCTTTCTCGACTAAAGAAAAAAAAATTAAAAAGGGATTATTTTAATTAATTTGACTATGTTCACATTACAGTAGGGAGAAAAAAATTACCATCCCCCAGTTTTAAAAAAAACAAGAATTGTAACATTTCCATTCTTCATGAAGTCAGTAACTGCCAAACTCCCATTAATTACCAAGTCAAAATAAGCATTTTTTTTTTTTTATCATTGCTTATTACAGGCTTATACTGGCAAATTGCTACTGCCTTAAAAGTTAAAAAGGTAAATCATAGAACTTATGAACAGCATAATTCCTTGTACAAACAATAAACTTTATACTACTACAACTATTACAAATCTTTGGAGTGCAATTATCTTCTAAAGAGAAAATCTGTAATTTTTCTTGTGATCGATTTTCTATCTCTTGCTGGGAAGGTTAGCTGTGCTAAAGTTACGCTGTAAATAGCAGTGAATTGTTTGGCAGGAATGACAACTTGGAGGATTCCTTTTGATGATAGATTCTTGTGTGTGTGTCACTGTGTAGTAATTACTCACTTTTGTTGCAAAATTTATTTAATTTGGGGTTATAGCCCAAAAGATAAAGATGATACATTTGTGGTGGCACCTTAGACATCTGATGACAAATGCGAGAACGATAGGCACAGTATAAAACTGCAAAGTTAAATTATAATCAACTGTAGAATAATAAAAAAAAAATAATTATGATATGTCAAAAATACAAATATTTATGAAGATTTTAAATTTCCACAAATTTACATATCAGAATCGACTTCAACTCCTAATCACTTATTATATACACTACAGTTCAAAAGTTTGTGGCCACCCTGGTAATATTTTTTTTTTTTTTTCTCTTCTGTCAAGTTCATCCTGCGCTAATTCAGGGGAGGACTTCAAACTTTTGAATTGTAGTGTACATCATGCAGTAGGGGTAGATTTGTCATTGTAAATCTTGTACAGTGTATAGTTTATCAAAAACTCGAATTTTAGCTACAGTAATACCTTAAAAATAAATAAAAATAACACATTAAGAATATGAGAAAAGCTCTTGCCACACAATTTATGTACAGTACATTTGCTTACAAAAGTATTTTAATATTGCAATAGTAACAATTTGTGTACTATTGTAATTTGTATTAATTCTCAGATTTGAGAATTACCAACAATAAATGTCCTATATTAGTTATGGAAAAATACAGATAAAATATTAATTTCTCTATGGATTAAATGCTTATGATTTCAAAATATGTAATCTTAGTTCCTGTTTGATATTATCTAATAAACAAGCCAAAACAGTGAACAGTGAAAATTTTAGCAATTCATACCCCTGTCCAAAATTAACAGTCTAAACAACATTTTGATAGTTCATGCAATGAAAGACAAACATTTTCAGAGCAAACAAAAGAAAAGGGAACAAGTGGTATTAAAAGAATATTCTAAGATTTATTGTATCAATTAAATCAAACAAGCAATGAAGAATCCAAAAACAAAGGAGAGCAGAGCAGACCTGACCTCCTCCTCCTCCTAAATGATTTGTAAGGTTTCCAAAAAGGCAGAGTTCATGAAAGAATTTCAAGATAAAAAATTTAAAAGGGAAATTTTAAAATAATTCAAATTTATGATCAATATCTTAAAAGAAAGTTCAAGATTAATACATGTTTTCTGCTTAATCAAATAATGACCATTCTTGGTTAAGGAAATACTGAATTTTTTCAAGTAAAATCAATTTTGATAGATTTTTATCTTTTTGCAAGTAGTCTAAGTGTTAAAACAATGCAATTGTTTTTAGCTACAAGTATTGGTTTCAATCCATACTGAGAATGACTGCAAAATACTTGCCCCTTCCCAATTTATAGCCAGAAGCACACAAATGCATACTGGGAGTTTTTCCTAGCCAATAAAATAGGCTGGCTCTTGGTTTCATCTGACTCAGGATGCTACATTAGCTTGTCTGACTTGTATATCAATCCCAATTCTTAGTTTGTAAACTTTTTGCCATATTACTGTTGCATTGCCTTATTAGTGTTAATTTGCCTTGTTTATATTGTTTACTTGCTTTATATTATTTTTGCCCTGTTCTTTTCTTTGTTATTGCTAATTTTGTCAATTTTGTTTGTTGAGCAGTTCTATTATTTATTTTACATTTAACCATGGCCACTCACTCTACAATAACAGAACTCAATCTCTTGAAAAGTATTTTAATGCTCTTAACTAAAAATTCATATACATTAAAAGTACCTCGTCCATGGAGTCTATTTACAAATTTGGTATCAACAGAAACTAAAATTGATCTGTACATCTGTATATTTTATTATTTTCTTGTAAGTAGGCTGGAAGTTATAAATTTATAACAAAATATTTTCTGTACATTCATTACATTCTGCCTACCCTTTTTTCTATAAATTTTCTACAATTGGATAACAATAAACAATCTTTACAACCACTATAAGATTCATTATTCCATACTAGTAAATCACAAGTAATAAGTTAAATTTACAAGAATACTTATGGGAGATAGTGCTGAAAAGTTTTCAGCCTGACCAAAAGTTCTTAAAAAGAAAATCTGATCATTTTAAATTTTGAGAGGTTGGGCTGAGAACTTTTCAGCAACCCCTTGTAAAATGAGAGATGCAACTAAGAAACCTACATTTAATAAGCATTTATAACTATTTCAAAAAGTGAAAGAAAAATATTTTATTGTTCTTGTATTGTTACAATGCAAAATAATCTTTTACAGCTATCTGCTTTACAAGAAGGGTTTTAACTTTGGCAGATACATTCAAATATTTTAGTAAGCAAAACCAAAATTTTCATTCTTAAGGACAACATAGACATACTGTAGTGGCTAAAATAAATCTATTCTGAAATAAAGAACTACTTTATGCATAAAAGTGGATGAATAAATATGAGCTTAACAATTATTAGTTGAATTTTGATCTGAAATTATCACTGTATTATGCTCAATCTATGTTATGCATGGAGAAGTACTGAGTTAAGTACATTGATAGGGAAGATTATGCTAAAAAAATGTTGTATAAACTAAATCAGACTGAACTTACTGACGTACCAACAGACTTTTAAAGATGAAACAGAATATAAGCATTTACAAATATTTGCTTCAAAATTAAACTGTCAAATATTCAATAATATAGTAAAAATTGTTTGATTTATTTTGCTTTCCACTCTCACCAAATCTATGAATATACAAATTGCAACATAACTTTTCTATGAGAATAAGGCAAGGCAAGGACTGTACACTGAGAGACAGGAGTTCACTCATTATATGCATAGTATATTGTCATTTTTATTTATCTATTATGTAGACAACTTTTTTCATATGTACATTAATTGCCATTTTTAGTAACCTTTCTTAAATGTAAAGGAATTAAATAGTAAGGATAGAGTGTGTCACAAAAGCTTTTATGGTTAAAGTTTTCAATATTAATTTTTTTCTAAAAAGGTAAGATGGAAAACAAAGAAAAACAAAAATCTTCAGTAAAACTTATTGCCGTCCCATTTTTAACAGAAGTTGACCAATTTTCATGATAAAAAAAAAACCCAGGAAAATCAGATATAATCTATCAAATTCTCAAAAAGGCATCCATCTAAAGCATAAATGCAAATGCAAGTAAACACATGTAAATATATCTGCAGTTTCTATGTTAATTCACACATCTAAGATAAAAAACATGTCTTCCTGTTCCCAAGGAACATGCCAATTCTCAGACATCTACCACAAAATATTCTTAAATAATCCCTAAGAAACTTAAAAATACATACAATTATTTCATAACTATTCTCAAATTTATTTGGTCAGACCAGATTCAGATGAAGATTTTAGTTTCAAGTTCTGCTGCAAGAGTCAAATTCATAACTGAGCTGTTATTTCTCCAACTCTATACTGTAATTTTGTAGTTGTCTAATTATGTTCAAGTATCAAAGTATAAATACTTTGGAGCTTGAATATATTTCATCCTCCTCCTAAATACTTCATCCATTTCCCAAATGCTGGAAGACAACAGAAGTGTAAAATTTACCAAGGGACAGCAGATTAAGTTTAATTAGGATGAGCAGAAGAACACACAAAAAATACATACACAAAGCTAAAAATGATGAGGCTAATTTTGTCATGTCATGAATTCTGTAACCCATTAGGATCATAGGGGTACTATATATGGTAACCATAGCAGCAGTGGTATATCAAGGGTAAGATGGTCTGATAGAACCCCTCTCTCTTAAGGCTGGTTTTTGAATTCAGAGTTTTCCTTCATTTAAAATGGTTACCACCCTAAGGCAAGAGATCTGTGGTAGGAGTAGAAGAGATGGGTTTCTATCTTTTACCCCCCCCGGATATTTATGTGAAAGTGAACATAACAAAATCTGCTGGAATCCAAACTTGGCTCATTAACCATTACACTACTTACACACCCATCTTAGTTGCAGTTCGCAAAAGAAAAAAATAGTTTTGATATGCCTTATCAATATAAAAGGAGCATAAATATTTTATGTTTGAATATTCAGTTTATAAAAATTGAAGGTCGGACATATGAATTGAATATTTTGCAACGTTAGTGTTTGACTATTTATTCATTTAGAGTCCTTTTTAGTTGCATGTTAGCCGTGTTGCAACAATTTGCATAACTTATTAGTTTGCATTGACAATGTTGTTATCATAGTAAATGAGCGTTTGAAAAAGAAACAATTCAGATAGCAAGTTTTAAGCAATATTTAGTGTGTGTTTTAGAAAAGAATTTTAAAAGAAATACATCAAAGAAATAGAATGAAGTGTTGATATTCAATTTTTGAGATTGACTTTTTCTCTTTAGCATGCATGGCAACAGGAAGACATAAAATCATGCAAATACGATCAGCCAAACAATATGGCTGCCATAATACCTGTAGCATAGTGGAATGAAGCCACCTTACGACATAAAAATTCATCTGAAATAGGATAGACAAGATGGCACGAGAATTAATTATCTGAAAACTAGCTCAAAGATTCCACCAAAGAACACAATTTCCATATGAGGTTACATTTAAGGTCACCTTAAATGCATATACTTTTATCTTTTTATTGCATATAGGACCTTAAATTACTTTGTACAGATGCTCACATATATTCCTATAATAGTCATCTTTTGAAATATTTATTAATGCTTGGTATTGGGTCAAGGAGTTATTCCAATTTATATGTTGCATTTTCCTTTATTTTTAAATATATTCAAATCCATTAATTATGAACCAATATTCTTGACACATAAAAATAATTAAAATTAAAAGACAAACTATAGTTTACAAAAAAATCATCTTAACAAGAAAAATCTGCCCAATACACTAAACCAGTTTATGAAAAAGCCAGAATAATTTCAGTAAAATGAAAATGAATTTGACAATAGAACAAGAGCTGAGGTTCAAAGCTTTAGAATTGAATTTATGACAAATGAAATAAGTCATGGAAATTCTAATAATTGTAAATAGTTAATAAATTATATAAGAGTAAATAACTTTTACACAAAAATTAAGGTTCAGTATTAACTCTAAACATCTGTTAGAGTAATGCATTTTTTTTTAAAGCTGTATCCATAATAAGCAAGAAATATTAAGAAAGAGTGAATCAATTCAAAGATTATTAGAACAAATAAAAGCAGGGTTTTTCATTTCAATTTTGATAATTATGAGATGAAACAATTCTAATTCTTTAAATTTAACATTTACAAACAAAAGAAAATTTTTATTTTAGCAATAAATAAAATTTAAGAAAATATCAAATATCTTTTCAATCAGGATTTCAGGGTTTGAAATATCCAGCCATTAATTATAAATTAAAAGCATTACTCAATGATTTATTAAAAGAAATGAATAACAAAATGAAGTCAAACATACCTCTGTCGTCTCTGTTGTTTTTAGCTAAGTGATAGAAATCACTGTAACGAGCATCATGGTGACCTCTCCGTTTCTCAGACATACTCTGACGTCCAAATCCCTCACGCTGGAATGCTAAGTTAGGGTCAAAATCTGGACTTAAAGGATTTCTAAATAGAAAAGATTACAGAAAACAAGATATTAGGAAAAATCTGAAATTTGTTTCAAATGTTCCAGTACTAAAATAACTGATAATTAAGATTAGTTGGTAGTAAAGTTATAATCAAGAATTGGAAACTATACCCTACAAGACAAATGTTCATGTACCCACTTAGCAAAAGGAAAGTTTATTTGAATGTAGAGTTTTTACATCAAATATTTGATGCAAGATTAGTGATACCAATATCATCCAAAAATTGTCGAGCTTCAAAAACCTGATTTTAGAAAACATTTTTTGCAGTTTGTCACTAAAATTGTTGTTAGAGAATTACACACACACATATACAGATCATCAAAATTCACAACTTCCTCTTTTATTTAATATTTGCAAATTTTAAAATTGGCTCTTGTTGAGATTCTATTAAAATTTAACCACCTCATTACAACTGGTTTCCAAATCCCAATCTATGGCCTTCTCACTCCTGTTGGAGGAACTCCTCCCTGATTGACCATGGCTTCAGAGGTGTAGCCGTACTCACTACACTTGACGAACTGAGAATATTTGATGAAGCTATTTATAACCCATAGTTGGGGTGGATGGCAGTTGACTCTGAGGGGTTCATTCACCTTTCAACAGCTCTTTTTTTTTGTGCTACTGGAGTTCTGCTTACCCTCCACACTGACCACTCAGGTTTTGAATTCAGAGTTGTTATTCTCCTAGACTGGTTGTCACCCAAGGTTATAGGACCTAGTCTGTCTTGCTATTTACCCATAGCTGAGAGGAGAAGACATGGGTTCATGCCTTTCCCAATGGTATTTGCACATAAGTAAATGTAACAAACTCAACTGGAATTCAAGCTTGGCTCTCCAGTTGCTCAATCGGAGTCACTTACTCCATTACTCCACCGTGCCTCCCTGATTATGGTTTAGGAAATCTACAACTTTATAAAAGTTGTAGATTTCCAGCAGCTCTAATTGATCATGTGACAGGTATTGCTTTCCATGTCATATTGAAATAAAGTGCTACTCAATTTATGAACTCAAATACAATTTCTGACATTCAGGTGCTCCTAACTGTAAGCATGTGCAAAATTTGCAGGTGCATTTGGCCATTTCTAGGCTTAAAGAGTTAAAAATAAAATTATGTAGAAACTGAATATTATTTTTCAAACCAAACAATTTCAAAAGATAGAAGACAGAGTCATTTAATCTAATCTTCATAGTTATCACTTTATACTGGTATCGGTAATATAAAAAAAATAAAATATTTATAGAAATATGACCATTTTGATCCTAATGAATATATTAAAGTGTTTGACTAATATAAAAAAATATAAAAGAAACGTTTTCAGAATTAATTGATAAAAAAGAATCCTTATTGTAATCTAATTTGAATACTGTAGTTATGACAACAGAATGAGAAGAATGATATAATGAAAAATCATTTGTAATATGCTTTTTTTTTATCAATTTATAATGTCTTCAGTTAAACTTTTAAGATTTATACACAAGTACAAAAAATATTGGCCTGTGACAGAAAAAATTACTCATAATTCATTTTAACAGATAAAATAGGGGAAGTATCAGTCCAATAATGCTGACTGTCCATATTTACCAACACTAAGCCTGTAGTGGCTAATATCAGTAAATTACATTATGAAAGAAAGAGGAATAATATAGTACTGTACATTCAACAAAGCACACTATCCAAAATGACACTGTAAATTACATGTACACTGTAAATATACACTTTTGTGATGCTGTTAAATTCACTCCTTGTCCACTCTTCCTCCAGACAACATGGTTATATAGATAATGATGAATATAAAACCACTTAAACAGACTGGCAGATAAAAAAAAAAGGAAAACCCATGGAGCAATAAGCTACATGTGGGGTTACATGGATGGAAACTAAATTTGTTCGGGCTTTTTTTTTTTTCAAGTAAAAATAATAAACAACTTTACTTTTTTTGACATTTATTTTGAACAAACTTCATTGAACAACATTTTATTTCACTATTTCCACCATTTTTGCGACATTATAATTCCATCCAATTAGAATTTTTTTTTTATTCTTCTTGGTAAAGAACAATTTAAGATCCTTTTAGCAATCTTTGAGAGTATTTGATTTATTTTGTTTATAATGAGAATTCTGCAAAAACCTAATTAAATAGTGATCTAAAAGTGCAATATTTGGTGAATATAGCAAATATGTGAAAACTGCCCAGCCAGACAGTAAACATTTTTGCCTGATCACCAAAGAAACATATAGTCTAGGATTATCCTGATGGAGTACTTGCAATTATGGCTTAATTTCAGATAATTTTCATCTTTCCTACCCTTTAATTTGTCTAATTGGAAGCAGTGCTTATTTAAATGAATATTTTGGTTCTCCAGAAGGAATTTATTATAAGAGTTCACTATTTTTAACTCATTCTACCATCATATACACAGTATCATCATCTTTGCCATTAAGTTAAATGGTAGGTTGGTTGTTTAGTTTTACAGCTTACCAACCCAAATAAGTAAATAGTTGATACCATATGATTGGAAAAAAAAACAATTTAAATTACCCATGGGTAATTTAAATTGTTTTTTTTTTTCCAATCATATGGTATCAACTATTTACTTATTTTTTTTTTATGCTGTGGATGAATTCCTGGGATCAAATCCTAGTCATGGCACCAACTGTGACCCTGTTGCTGTGTGCTTCACTGAATGCCACTCTTACTTTGATCCATGTCTGTTGGTCTGTCTCTGGCAAGCCCACTCTGCACCAATCTTGCGTCCCCCACATTGTGTTTTTTGTTCCAGTATCCACAGGAATATTGGTAAGAACTGTCAAAGATCAGGCTTGACTCATCTCTGTCCTGGTTATGCTTGTGAAGACTAAAATTGCTAGTGTCACCAGTAAACTTAATCAACTTCAACAACACTCATTAACAAGTGTAAAATAACAACTATATCTATAGTACTATGATTAATATTATGAATACATAAACAAAATGGATTTGAAGAAGTTTCCCCCATACAAGGAATTCTTAAGTTGGGAGGAAGAGGTTGACTAGCAGTTGCAGTTATGGCTAAATAGCCCAACTATTTAAATGAAGGCAGCTGATCAACGAATTCAAAAAATGACATAGAGAACAGGACTTTAGCTGATTGAGGCACCACAGTCATCCAGTAGGGAGAGGTCTACTAGCAGTAAGACCAATTTGATCTTACTACTTCTCTTTTGGTGACTGCTTTTTATGGGGGTGCAAACCCCAATTGTACTGCTATGATCTTGTGTCATACGCCTTGAAAGAGAGGAAGGAAAGCTCCCAAGAACTCATTATGACTGGTGGTTGGTCCAATCAAAATAATGGCTGTATTGTAATTATCAGAGAGGGAGACAAGAAGCCCTATCCCAGCTCTTCTCTCACTGGTGGGCCAATCAAAATTGTGGCCTTGCATTGCTCATATCCACCTTCAGTGGAACATTATCCATGTTCCAGAATCTGACCCTCATTTGACCTGATTATCACAAGTGTCATCATCAGTTCTATCTGAAAGTGCGTTATATCCCTGATCAAAAACACAACCTGTAAATATTTGCTTTGTGTCACTCATTTCAACAAACAATTCCTTTATCAAATGAAAACAACAGTTAAGTTAAACAGACCTAAGACTGTAGCTAACGACCAATCCTACCTCTCACACTATACTCTATAAGTGACACAAACCAGAAAATTCATGGTATTGCAATGTTTTAACATGGAAAATATTTTTCTTTCTGTAGAAATATAAATTAGATCACCAGTCATGGTGTCATAATGCAATCTTATGGTTTCAGTAATTTTTTTCCCCACGCTCATATGGTATCAACTGTTTTGGTTGGTTTAGATAAGTTTTCTTAGCTGTTGAATTTATAAATTTTGGTATAAGCCCACTGTTTTGAGAAATGATACATTGTCCATCCTTGCTCTTTCAAAGATTGCCTGTATGTTGTTTATATTGAAGTAGGTTTCCTAGATTAAACAAGAACTGTACACTCGGTCAATACATGTTTTATAGTGTATGCAGTTTAGCATGTTGGGCACATTGGTTGTTTTTCCTCTTTCAGTAAGTATGAGTGTATAATTCTTGTGTGACCAATGCATAAGTGGGCCAATAGTTAATGGTAGCTCATTTTGTTGGTTGCATGATTTCTTGCTTTCCATGTCATCGAAAAGTATTGATTTTTTTATTACTCATCACAGTTTGTTAGTAACATGAAATGTTTAAGTAGCAAATTTCACATGGAAATACAATCACATATTATTTTCTTACAAGGAAGTCACACATCAAAGCAACAACCAAATTGGTATAAATGATTTTCAATACATGATTTGAATATTTTCAGTATGTTGGCTATTTTCTGCATTGTACAACATTGATTATTCTTAAAGAATGTCTTCATTTGCTTGTGATCAACCTTAGTTGGCTTGGCCATAGAGCATTCAGTGAGAAATTACCACCATGAAACTGTACAATCTATTTTGACTTGTTTAATTATTGACAATATCTTTTCTATAAACTGCACAAATATTGGATTGGACAAAAAGTTTGCCTATTAAGTAAAAAATTTAATTTATAAACTAAACAAGCTTTTTGGCCAGCCCAATACATGTATACATTTTTTTTTATACTGGCATCACATGTATACCTTTTTAAAGGAGTTGAGAAAAAAAAAAAAAAAAAAAAAAAATAAATCGCTTAATAAGTTCGAAATGTTGCCTCTTTGACAAGTAACAGACAAAAACACACAAATTTTAACATTGAAGAAAAAGAAATTTTTTTTTAAAGTTAAATGCTCTTATACAATAAAAACAAAACAAACCTTTTAGGTTACCCTACCGTGTTAAAAATGAAAGAAAAGAAAAAAAGACAAAAAAAGAGTATCATACTTACAATTCACTGTTTTCATGATTTAACATTGTTTCTTCATTCCAAAGGTTGGGCGAATTGGGTGAATAATCCTGTGATGGATGATGTTGAGGATGTGGTGGTAATGGTGGTGGATGATTTGGATGGGATGGTCGTAATTGTTGTTGTTGATGATGATGATGATGATGATGTGATGGTGGTTCTGGTTTTCTTAGCATTTCCTCTCTCCTGTAGAAATGATCAGATTCTTGCTTTTGGTTATGGTGGTTACCAGATGATTGATGGACATCTCCAGAGAAAACAGGTGGGTAACCCTACAGCAGCCAAAGAAAAAAGAAATACTATCATTATCTGGAAGATAAATTCAGACATACAATAAATGTAACATATTTAAATCATAACTCCAGATAAAGCAAATGCTATAAAGTATCTGTAGAAGTATTTGAGAAAAAAAAAAAAAAAAAAAAAAAAAAAAATCAATTATTTTAACCAGTATGTTTCCATATGTATCAATATATCAGTATCATATCTATTCACATTATTTATATATAAAGATCTAAATACTTGGAGAGATTACTTAACAAAAAAATCCAATATATTTGTATTTTCACATGTTTTAATTTATGGAGATACCAAAATCATTACAGATTCTTTAAGAGATCTAATTGGAACCCAAATATTTTCACATTAATCAACTATCATAAACCCAGTCAAATCTTAATTTCATCAGTGAAATATACTTAAATGATTAACCCCGCCCCATTCCTCAAAAAAATTTGGTGAGGATAATTCTTTTAGATATTCAAAATTAGATTTTGTATACATGTTTCGAAGTTAACATTACAACATACAAGAGGTGATTTTGTTTGCGAAGCAAAAATTTTATCCTGCCACTGTAAGTGACTCAGATTAATGAATAATAGTGTGTTTGAACTGTATAGTTGTGTTGTCATATCCTACTATGGCAACAAAAAATGACTATGACTGAAATTAAGTAGTGCAGTAGAGGAGCCTTGAAAAGGAAAGTAGTGAATAATGCAGAGTGTAAATATCTGATTAAATCTTATTTATTATAAAACGCAGATTGTGTGTGTGTGTGTCTGTAACGTTTATATATTGGATCGGATTTCCTACATTTTTCAACCGATTTCAACAAAACTTACAGGGGACTACATAAAAATTACTTGTGGTGGTTCTAACAGTGCCAAAAATGGGAAAAAATATAATTGTTTTTGCACAAAATCAATTTGAAAACACGATTAAGAGACATCGTGAAAATGGAAGGGGGACAAATCACATCGAGTTGTGTGTTTGTGCGTGTGTGTGTGTGTGTGTGTTCCTTTAAATATGGGAGCGGATTTCCTATATTTTTCAGCCAATAAAACAAAACTTCACTTTTTTTTTTTTTTTTTTTTTGGCAGGTAGTGTTTCTTATTCTCTTGTACACTTTTTTTCTTTATTTTTAACATTCAGAATGCTTTAAAAATTCCATTTACAAGACAATTATTTATAATAAAATTCAATCGAGACTCATAACGACTGAAAACAATGTTTTTGTTTGAGTTTGGGTTTGACCAATTCATAAAAACTAAAAAAAAAACTAATTAAGACATGCGTGTCCGTCAAACTTAAACAATAATCTAATGATCTCTACTGATTATAATGATACAAACATGGAATAAATTCTTTATCTTTAGGAAAGATAATGAAATCTAAACATACACAAGTCCTAACTAAAAATAATAACCGAACAGGAAACTACTTTAAATACATGGTGTCCAATTTTTTTACTGTATTCAATAAGTAAAAATCATAAATTATAAAAAGATTATTTTACAGAAAGGATACTAAATGAATAAGATTTGTTAGATCATAATTAATAAACCCAAATAAAGTTAATATTTTTTTTTGTATTAGAAACAACAGTGGAAAATATATTCAAATCAAATTCTAATTATGAATCACCACAAGCAAAATATGCAATTTTTTTTACTGTATTCAATAAGTAAAAATCATAAATTGTAAAACTAAAAGATTACAGAAAGGCTACCTACATTTTTCAAACCAATTTCAACAAAACTTCACTTTTTTTTTTTTTTATTTTAATATGTAGTGTTTCTTATTGTCTTGCACACTTTTTCTTTTTATTTTTACATTCAGAATGCTTTAAAAATTCCATTTACAAGACAATTGTTTATAATAAAATTCTATTCAATCGGTAGACTCATAACGATTGAAAACAATATTTTGTTTGAGTTTGGGTTTGACCAATTAAAAAAAAAAAAAAAAAAAAAAAAAAACTAATTAAGACATGCGTGTCCATCAACCTTAAACAATAATCTTTGTCAATTTTATTTTTCAGTCTTTATGATGGTGGATACTTAATCTATCTCTTACTGTTATATCCCGGACATGCCACAGCTCTACTACTAAAAATCTATATAAAATAGAGTATTATTTGATTCATTTGAATGTTTTTCAACCAGATTATATCCAATGTATTATCTAAATTAAATTAAATATGCAAATATATTAGCTAATTGAGTCTTCGCTTTATGCAAATCAGGTGTCATAACTTTCTGATAGTAACATCCTGTAATAAAGCACAACAAAAATAAGGTAATCTTACAACTACAACATAGACTATATATAAAATTCTGTGACTTTTGTTAGTCCGTCCATACATCTGTCACACCCTTTAAAATAGCCATACATTGATCGATCAAAACTAAATTTTGGGGAGCAGTGAAAACAGATAAAGATGTACAAAGTACAGTTGGTTTTACTAGAGTTCCTAACTTAGTACAATAAACTTTCATTTATTTTTTTTGAAAAATTAAGTTTTTATCAACAATACTAAATACTGTGCAAAAGATTCTAGTGATATATGATTGAGAAAAAAATTATATTTTCACAGTGTTTAATGATTTCAACATTTACCAGGATATCTGTCTATATTTCTGAGATGAGATATTGTAATTATTTACATTATTTACATTGTTCAGACTGTTGTCCTCATGTTTATTGCCATATTCACGATGTTTCAGCCATTATATGCTCTGGCCTTCTTCAGGTGATTGGAATTTCAAACTGAACACTTTATTTTTTCCACCGGGGTAGATTGTTCAAGCTCCATGTGCCATGGATGTCTCAGTTATCCCCCTTTAACTCAACTCTCTAAGTTTTTGTTCACCACAGCAGTAGCCAGGTATTGAACTCTCAAGTCTTTGGGTCAGGGCACATGGCCCATTGGTTGGATCTAGTGACTTGACCCAAGGAACAATATAAATAATGTAAATAAATTAAATATTTATCAGGATGAATCTGCTATTATATATAGTTAATGTATAAAAAATATTTTAAAATAAAAAAATGGCAAAAAAGATCATTAAATATTTGCAGTATATCAATATAAGAAATGGAAAACTGATGGAATTGAAATAAAAAGGAGCAAGGAAAAAAAAAAAAAGAATAATCAATAGATGATCAATTTGAAATTTGTATAATATTTTAGAATTAGAAAAAGATATTTTTAACTTATGAAGAAGTTTCTAAAATAAATCAGCCATGAAAAATAAAGGTAAATGCAATTTTCAAATCCAGAATTAGATGCTCAATTGAAAACTGAATTAGGAACTTAAAAAAAACAGTGGTCATTAAGAACAGGTGGGCTTTGATACTTGACAAGGCAATTACTCACAGGCTGAGTGTTACAAATTAGAAGTTGGGAAGATTTATGATCTTTGTTTGAAATTCTAATATAATCAAGACAACATTTTCTTGAAAGCAATCAGCACTGTCTAGCTCCAGGACACTAGCATAGTATTGTGTAAACCAAGTTATATCCTGATTGAAGTCAGTGTGTGTTAAAAAAGAAGGAAACAATACTTAATGTTTGAAGGCAAGATTGATATTAACTGCTAAAAGACATGAAAAAGAGAAGCACTTTGCTAAGAAACATTATATTCTTTACTCTAAGTCAGTGGTTCCCTAAACAGTGTGACGTGCCTCATAGGTGTGACAGAAGAGGATAGCATGTGAGGCAGAATGATTGAAAAACAACTAAAGATTTAGAAACAATTTCAAAAAATTCATATGCCAAAAGTAAATATGATTTCAAAATTTAAAATATTATGGATGGATGGATGGATGTTGGATTTAACGGCATGTCAACTCCTTTAAAATATTATGGATTACTTGTAATGGCATGCATGTCCCAGTATAAATAGTTATAAATAATTATTTACAGATTTTATCGCTGTAATATTTTTGCATTATATCAAGTATTAAGAATATAGTAATTTGGGTCTGTAAATTGGAGGAGAGAGTTATCAATGATAATGTTCTGACTTTGAATCTGTGGCTATCTTCCTTTATCTCTGTTTTTTTTTATTTTTAAATGTACTTTCTATCACATAAAATTTTCATTTCGAAAATGTGGTCCAGAGGAAAAGTTTGGGAACCACTGCTCTAAGTTAAAGATTTATGAACAAAAATTCAATTTCTCCTCCTCCTGTGACTAGTTATTTGAAATAATGTGATTATCAGATAAAACTGTCCCATATCAATTGAAGTATCTTGATGTGGCATCTATCCAACTGTGAAAAGATGCTCTCAAGATATTAAAAGGGCAATTAACTCACAGCAAGGGTTGGGGGGGATTTGATCTTCAGACAAAAGAGGGCAAATCAAGGAAGGGTTATATACTTATTAAGTCTAACTTATGAAAAATAGAACTTACTTACCTGTTTGCATTGGAGATGAGAGATATCAACATTTCAAAATGATGGATTTTACCTAGACTAACACCTACCTCTGTTGGCTGTGTAAAATATGCAATTATCTAACATACCAACCAGATGTAAATGCTGGTTGTACAGTTTTGTTAAGCTTTAGATAAAGCTTAGACCATATTGTTGCAATATTCATTCTATGGATGACTAATCCAGTATCAATGACTTTTGAGTCAGCAGTTTTGAGTTATTTTTCTAAATTGCAGCTAAATGTGTTGAAAATGTTTCGACCGTCAGTGGCAAATGAGTTCATTGGGAACACAAAAGAAAATTCACAAGCAATTTGGAACAATTCACGTTAATGAAAATAGTTTAGAACTACCTCAGAGTTACACCAGCATCAACAGTACAAACAATTCATCAGTCATGAGGTAAGACTAAGAAACAAAAAGTGTCCACAATTTCACATTATATAGAGTCTCCTTTGTATGTCTCAATAAGTTTTGTGTGACCTTATTGTCATTAAATATTTTGACTCAGAGTGCAGCCATTTTCTTTCTGGATATTTTACATGTAAGGCATGTATGAACTGTTTGTGTTGGTAAGTCATTTTGTCTTTTTCAGTGGGGTGGGGGAGCTGTCTTTCATTTCTACTAAAGAAATTACATCTAATTTTGGTTAAGATAAAATATTGAACATGGATAAGAAAAGAGCACATTTTTATCATAATAAAAACAAATATAAAATGAGAAAAAGCAAACTTACATCATCTTGCTCATAAGAATCGTCTTCAATAAGAACGGTTTCCTGTTCAGGTGGATTGACTGTCAATGACTGTATACCCTGAGTTTGATAACTTTTGACCAGAGAATATTTGGACTCTGTACTCGAGTTACTGTTCTTGCGTTCATGGATAGGAGATACATTTTTAGAGTCAATATTTATTAAAGAATCCTCAAAACTAGAATGTACAGCTCGATTGTACGAATCATTGTTTAGACTGCTTCCATGCCCGCTACGAAGTTTATCAATATAAGGAATACTTAGCTTCGTCCGTTCATTATTTGGAACCATGATCACATCTGAATTGTTTCCATTTTCATCTAAGTTTGTATTTTGTAAGTTCACAATATTTTTTGATTTACTATCACTTGCTGTTTGGCAGCCAATAGATGTATTATGGATAGCATTGCCATCATTTTGCCCATTTTCAATGGATTCAGTTTCATCTGAGCAGCTACTGTTGTGGTTGCTGATAGATACAGAGTTTAAAGATGGCAAAGGAGAGTCTGTGCATTCTTGATGTCTTGCAATGACCAAACGAATGTGGCTGTTGACTGTGTCAATGTTACGCATTGCTTGGCGTAATGTCTCCATTGCATCATGATTGGTCAAACCCAGCAAAGAGTCTCCATTGATCTCTATCAACTGATCATTTACATTCAATCGACCATCCTACAAGAGAAAGATGCATATCAAGTTTCATTTATGGCAATAAAAACAACATTGGGATTGGGGAGGGTAATCATAATTACCTGCATCAATGTGAAAATGTTGTTTTTATGGTTTTAGGGCAAGAAATGGCCATATTGAACAAAAATTCTTTGCTCATTACTGAAACACAGGAAATATATTGTCTATAACTCTGAAAAAACTCAATGTTCCAAGCTTAAAGAAAATCAAGTATTACTGATTGACCCAGAGACAAAACAACCAAACATGTTGAGAGTTTGTAAATAAAAATACTAAATATTAGAAATTTTTGGGTTAGTAAGACACTAATTCATTGTGTAAAATCATGGTTTTCTAAAGTAAACAATTGAAAACCAAATGGCTCAATTCTCCAAGTAAAATTGTGAATATTAAAATTTATAAGGAAAAATAAAAATTAATGACTGGAAGAAGATATGTAGAAATTCAGTATAATGGTAGGTATTAAGGGTTTGGAAAATTTCCCAAATTCAATAACAAAGTAACTTTGTTTAGAGTCTAAATATAGTCATGTCATGCTGCAATTTCTAGTCAGTCAATGCTACACATTGTGGAATGGTTGGAACCTAAAATTTTGATTCCTGCTAAACCCCTGATTGAGTTAGTACAAACCCAGTTGCAGAACTATGGAAAAGTGAAAGCACCATTCAAGAGACATCAGAACATAAAACTATGACTGTTGTGTTAGAAAACAAGCCCCATAGCTCCAGTCACTTTGCAGTATTTTCCAATTGCAAAAGACATTCAACAGATATTGTAGTCAATAACAATTATTGTAACATATCAGTAGAATAATAGTTGATTGTATGTTTCATTTTTGCATTTGGAACACACAACTGTTTCTTGGAATTATTAAAAAAGAAAAGCCAACAAGTACATCACATGAATTTGAATGTAAACCTTTCCATTATCTTAACTAATAAGCTGCTTAAACAAAAAATAAGAATAGTGTGGGAAATAAGTAATCCAACTGCTCATTTCCACTGAGTCATTAGTGACCACATCTGCATAGAATTGATCAGCTGGAGGTCAAGGTAATGGTAAAAATTTTACATTAATAATATTACAATAAATATTTCAGTCAGTCTATTCTATAGTTCTCTTTAGGCATGTACAATTCACAAGGGAAGAAATGGTAGTAAAACAACACCACAAAAAAAAAAAAGCAGTTCAACTGTTTAGAGTTCTAAAAGGATGTGATATATAGAACGGTAGAATTAGTGACAACAAAACAAATACACAATGCTTTAATTTTTAATATTTGATAATCGCTGATAATTTTCATACTCTTCAAAATAAATATCAAGCTTAAATAAATATATTATGAAAGTTTGTTAGTTCACAAGATGATATTGGGAAGAAGAAGAAAATTGTTGTCTTTTGGCTAGAGACAATTTTCAAAATTGTCTACTTTATTTTTTATACTCTAATTCCAAAAATAATACTTTAATAATATTAAAAAAAAAAAAAAAAAATTTAAAATGTGAAGTCAGGTAAAAATGTTTATTCTTACCTTTGATGCAGCACCACCGTTAATAATTGCCTTAACAAAAATGCCCAAATCTCGGTTTGCTCCTGTTTCAGATGGATTTGTATTACCTTTAACGCTGACTCCTAAGCCTGCAGAACTTGTCTCATTCAAAGCAATGTCAAAGGTTAGGTATTCTTGATTTGAAGCATCAGGTGTGGGTGAAATTTCTCCATGATCCACTAAGATAGCAGGAGATGTTGAGGATGGGCGAGAAGAAGATTTTTTTTCAAGCTAAAACAAAACAGAATCACAAATAAGTCCAAGACAACTCCATTATTTTTTTAAACTCAATACAACACACACACTCTAATAACCGTTTCAGGGAATTAACATAGACAGGGGCAAACAAAAGACTTCTTTAAATAAATTTTCTGATTTATTTTCTTTCCAATAAACTTTCTGAATTATTTTTCCTAGATAAATAAGAACAATGAAATCTTAAACACTAAACTTTTACAGTATTTACATTAGTCGGACTATTGTCCTCATCTTTGTCGCCATATTTGTCACAACGTTTCGGCCGTTGTACGCTCTGGCCTTCTTCAGGTGGTTGGAATTTCGAACTGAACCCTTTATTTCGATCACAGAGGCAGACTGTTCTAGTTCCACATGTCATGTTTGATGGATGTCAGTTATCAGTTATCTCCTGCTAATTTTTCCCTCTGAAAGTTCTCCACTGCCTTAACTGGGTATTGAACTCACCTTCTTTGGGTCTGTCACTGGAACTAACCAACGCCTTTATCCACTGTGCCATGATCTGATTAATTGTTTGGTGGTTAAAGTGGAGTGGACCAGCCTTCTGCCAAAATGGTAGAGAGAACTGACCTCAAAGCCCTCTTTTCTTAGGTTTATACTGAGGTCAGTAAGTGGTCAGGTAATGTGATAAGTGCAGTAGAATTGTCCTTTGTTTCTATATTGGATCTTTGATCTTTTGTTTTACTTATCTAAATATCTGTATTCAGAAATGGAGTTAACACTGACATTAACAACAGATCAATGTTCATGAGGTGATACTTTTCAGGAAGTTTAATAAACTTTTTTTTTTTACTTTATTAAACTTTGCCTACTACTACTATTACTACAACACTATTAATAATTATAAGGAATAAAATTCTTACATTATCACGTGCAGGTTTAGGTGGGGGCTGATCAGTACTTTGTCGAGATATAAGTAAATTGACAATGGCTCCCAGTTTTGTATTTCGAAGAATTGTCACAGCCTCTTCTTGTGTCTTACCACTCATCTCAATACCATTTACCTGCAATTAAGTAAAGAAAAAGATTTAAATCTTATAAAAAGTTTCCACTTACAGAAATTTAGAAGAAATGAATTGTTACTTTAAATGCTTATAAATTAAAAACTTCTTTAAATTATTTTTGATAAAAATTTTTATAAGTTAGAGTTTAAAACAAACCATTTCTTCATCAAAAGTTCAATAAGTTTCTCCAAAGATTACAATTTTCCAATCCAAATTATTCAAGATGATCTTCACTCTCGCTAACCTTCTAACTTTCTGTGCTGGAGTAACACATATGATTTCATTTTCAAGTCTTTTTTTTTTTTTTTTTTTTTACTGCTCTTGGAATGTCATACTTGAAACTCTTCTCCCATGTGCCAAAAGTCTCATGGATTGAGTTGGATCTTTTCTAATTGATCTCTTTAGTTTTAAGCTGAAATGATGGTCCCTCTTCCTGTTGTGTCCTCCTGATCCAGTTTTCTTCTCTACTGTTACCTCTTTTTTTAAACTTATTCACCATTCTCTTGATGGTTCTTGAATGGACTTTGAAGATGGAATGTTGGTACTATTACTGAAAGCCTGAGTGATTTTTTCCTCTCACCATTGCTTATTTGGGGGCTGGCACAAAACTGTTTTAACCTGTTCTCTTTCTAGCTGAATAACTCGAAGGATTTTTCAGTGATTCCTATGGCAAATAGTATCAAGATGGCTAAACATCTTATCTAACAATCTGGAAAAAGAAACTCAGTTTAGTAGTTTTTTTTAGATATTAAACATTTTGTGGGATGGACAATTTTGCTTTTACACTTGGTATATGTATGTATGTATGTATGTATGTTGGCCATTGGTTCCTATAAGAAGCTCATCCACCCTCTGACAGTTTTTTTTTTCTGTGCTGTAGAGTGATATGTCAGAATGTAGAAGGAAAAGGACACACTTCAGAGAAAGGATCCAAAAGACAACAGATACTTTAGGAAGGTTGGAAAGATCCCTGTTAACAACAGCTTGGTTTCCTTACACTCAGGTACATGCAAATTGCTTCAACCAGACTACCAGGTGTGAAATAAAATATGTTTAAACATTACAAAAACAAGAAATTAGTTTGAATAAAGAAATATACAATTTTTTAATATGACTTCAACTTTGATCAGAAAGATTATTTCAAGTTAGAGATATTTTCATATAAATGTGTGCAGTGTGAATCCTTTGAATTTGACAGTAAAAGACAACATAAAGAATTAACCTCAAGGAGTCGATCTCCTGGCCTTAGTTTGCCATCTTCAACAGCAGCTCCTTTTGAAAGAATGTTTTTTATGTAAATGGGAACACTGCCACCTGTAGGGTTATCCCTTGATGTAATGCTGAAACCAAGGCCATTGGAACCTTAAAAATAAAGTAAAGACATTATTAAAAGGGGATTTATCACATGTAATTTATTCAAGACTTATTCCAAGATTGCGGTTCTCAGAATTGATCTATTATTATTTGTATAATTTCTCAAAGAACTGAGAAGAATGCCATTAGAGCAGTTGACACATTTCCTTGTTTTTGATCTTATTTTGGAAATGAATTGGATATTGATTCTATACTTATACTACTAAAAAAAAATATATATATATATATATATATATATATATATATATATATATATTTTGGAATATGATATCAAACAAATATTCCAGTCCCAATGATAAAAATTGAAAACAGATCTGAATTTTTTAGATTCTACAAGATTACAGCTTCTAAATCTAGCAAAGAAACCTAGTAAAATCATAAACCATATTTCAAATTAGTTTCATAATAAAAGTTATTCTCATAGAATTGTAAAATAGACATCTGTGAGTAAAAATCTATTTAAATTACATATACAATTTATAAAAACTTTTATGTTATTAGAAAGAAGAATTGAAGAATATTATTTTCATCCAGGATACTGAAATGCAGAATATTTTTGCTTGAAATTTTTCATTTACTATGAAAAATAAATAGAAATCCAACATAAATACTTGATATAGTAAAATTGTTTTTAATCTACAGAAATTCAACCAATTATTGAAATTTAATAGAACTTTTTATATTTATTGCATTGAATCTAATTATGAAAAGATTTTCACATGAAAATAAATTAACCAAAATATTTTCTTTAATTTAAATTTTACTTGCTTATGAAATTTCAGAAGGAACCAGAAACCCAATCCTAAACAAGGAACAAGAGATAAACCCTGTTCAAAATATGGGGAAGAAGTGTGAACTAGGCAATAAGCAAACTCATCTACTCTTATTATCTGTTAAATTATATATTTATGGTTGATAAAAAAGAAATGCTACATCTTTTTAAAAATTTTAAAAAATTTCAACATTTCTGTTTGATTCTTTTTGCTCTCAAACCTGAATTGGTATTAAACAAGAAACAGAGATTCCTTATTATCAACTGTAATTTTAATAGATTTTAATCATCAGAGGTTAAGTTAACGAGAACATGTGAATCTAGCATGTATGAAGACCATATTATGCCATAATGAGATTATTTCCTTTTGGGTATACATGGCATGTCAGTATAACTTGAGATGGCCTTTGACTAATTCAGGCTCTTTTGGATATTATTCAGTAGTAGCAGCGAGTTATCTTATGTTTGCATAAATAACTATGCTACAAAATAGGAAAACATCTTTATCAGTTGTTATTGACTGATAAAAGAAGGGAAAATATTATTACCTTTTTTAAGTTGTATTGCAAGTTTCTTTCCAATTTTACGTGTATTTGTGGAAGCACTAAACATGTTTCTGTCTTTTGTTGAGAGCGCAGTAGTTGGATGACGTGTAGGAACAGCTGGAGGCACCTTTTTGGTTGGTGAGGGTGGGACGGAGTTGTCATCAATCATTCCTGAATTTTCAGTCACACTACTACCAGATGAAGGTTTCTCGTCACTGGCAGCATTAGACTCTGACTTCCCAGAACTGATAGAAGAACTGATATCATCATCATCATCATAAGCATTTTTCTGATTGTTGAGATTTTTTGAATTATCAACTTGATCCTTTGGCTCATCTGGATTGGTTGGTGGAAGAGTGAGTGGGCTTGGCTTAGGAGGTGACGTTCGATTTCTGGCAGTGGGCTTTGGAAGTAATGGGGGTGGCATTTTTGGAAGAGGGGGTGGGTTGGATTTTAGCACCTTGAGTTGTATCTCATTTGTTTTCATAGCTTTACGAAAAATCTCCTGGGCCCTGGATAAAATTAAAAAACAAGGTGCATTAAAATAAGGAACCAGGAAACAAAAAAAAAAAAAAAAAAATTCTCCAGGATAGCATTAAAAACAGTGAAAGTATTTTTGAAAAATAAGATTCCAGATAAGAAATACTTTATTAATAAAACTTTTGTTGAATAATCCTGATCATTTCAAAGATAATTTATTTATCTAACATTTTATAGCAGACTGCTTTTATAATGTGGGAATATATTTTTAACTGCTTCTTCTTCATTCAAAACTTCATTACTCTTAGCAAATAATGACAGTTTTATAAACAAACATCATTCATGTACATAAGTACACACACGTACATGAATGATGTTTGTTTATCATAAGCAAAAGAAACTGTCATTATTTATATATATATATATATATATATATATATATATATATATATATATATATATAAATAAAATTTTCATTAAAAGGACTGACAAGGTACTGTTATTTTATGGGATTTTTCTTGTGTTCTTATAAATTTTTTTTGTTTTGGTTGTAAATTATATAGAAATTGACTGAATGTTCTGTATATCCAAGCACTTTCGGTTATAGTTTTAGCCATTAACAAGGATAATTTTATTTTTACTTTTAACTGAATGCATGGATTGCTATATATCTATTTATCTAGAGTTATAGCCATGTTTATTTTCCAAACATGGTCAGCACATTGTTAGTGCATGGACATACAGAAATTCAGACAATTTCTACATAATTTATACCCAGAAAAGAAAATAAGAACACAAGAAAAATTAAATAAAAAAAATTTCACCATAGTACTTTGTCATCATTTTTAATGAAACTTGTATAAAAGAGGGATTGCTGCCAAAATACACAATTATATATAAATATATATAGTTTATGGAAAACTAGGTAATCCGTATGGGTAGACCCAAGGAGGATAAAATCCAGAGAACTCCGTATGATATATATATATATATATATATATATATATATATATATATATATATATAAACAACAAATTTCTCCTGATTTTTCTCAGATTATCATATCTGCTCAAAGCATATCTTAAAGTAAACAAATGACAACATATATTATGAAATGGACTAAGTCCAACAGTTATTTTAATATATTTTCTGTTTATACATTATTTTTATAGATACAAATATTTAAGTAAATAATAAATGGTATTAATTATTATATATATATATCTCAGATCTCACAGTGTAGAAATAAAATGTTCAGTGATGGTAGCACAAGGCATTACTCAATATAAGTCAAAGTCAATACGCCTTGTGTTACTATAACAATGTATAGCTGGCCACTCGTATTCAAGGATACCTGTCTACTAGGGCAGTTACCAAATCCCTATTGCAGACATTTGCTCAGGTACATTTGTGTTTATTCAACACCCAGAGCCTACTTGCGGTTTATACTGCAACTATGCTGAGCAGACGTTAGTTACAGTTTCTGGGAAATAGTGTATTATCTAGCACAATCAACAATTTGAACAAGGCCAGAATGCTCAAGCCCTCGGTCACGATGACTTGTGACTTCATGCTAGCACAGCTATCGATGGCACCCAAGGGTTCAGTCTACCCAATTTCACTAACAAGGCATGGGTCAACCCATGGTACAGTTTTCAAGCACTTTCCAACACATTTGCATTTTATATTTCTTTTGTTTAATTTAGCTTTCTTTGGATACCTTCCTGTATGTTTATCACATTTCAGCATTAAATTCTAGACATGGGAAGCAAATTTGAATTGCTTATTAAATTGTCATTAAATGGAAGCTTAGATTATAAAATAACATGCTACAATAGAGTTAATAGTTATCTAATAAGCCACAGTGTGTGTGATAGAGAGGGAGAGAGAGAGAGAGGGAGGGAGAGAGAGGGGAGAGAGAGAGAGTCAATGTGAGAATGACTTTTCTATTTCCCAAATTCTCATTATTCGTCTGGCAATGTTAAAATCCTAATTCTTCAAAGATGAAGAGAATTCCATTTGCTTAATGTTCAGAAAGTAATGAACACAAAATATTGCTGTCATTTTATGATGGTATAAGTAAACTATTTTCACAATAAAGAAGAGGGAAAAAAATGAAAAATATAAGTTGTCATCTTGTAAAACAATCCACCATAAAATGTAGTGATCCAAATATTTTATTTCATTTAAATGCCACTATACTTACTTTGATACATTTAGCTACTTCAACGTAATCATTATTAATTAATATGCAATTAATTTTTTTGATTATCCTCATTATTTTTTCAATTTTTTTTAAAAACATTTCAATGGTTTATTTTCCAGATAATAAAGCAGCTTAAAACACTGTAAGATAAAAAAACAAACAACAATCATGATAAACAAATACAAAATAAGGAAAAACAATATTGGAAAATATTAACATTTTAAAAAAATAAATAAAATTAACCTTTTCTAGATCGATTACCAACCAAAGCTGCCTATTAGCATAACAATCAATTTTAAATTTAGAGTTGTCTTTCTTAGTAATCAAGGCTAGAGAGCCAAATCTGTTCTGCTATTTAACCTATAGCTGGGGGAGAAAAGATGGATTCATACCTTTCCCAAGGGTATTCATGTGAGTGTGAACAACAAACTTTGTAAAAATTCAAACTTAGCTTGCCGATTTCTCTTTCCGAGCTGCTATTACACGACCCACATAGCAACACTAGTAATTAATTTTGTCAATTAACCTTGATAGATTTCAACAAATTTCAAACACTTTACCATTTAAATTACTGCTTTCATTTCTTTTATTTTGCTCCTTCCCCTAATTACTCTATTAATTATTATTTAATAATAGCATAACAAGTATTAAGCTTGGTATTTAATATATATTTAAAATTCTAATAATTAAGCAATTAACATTTCAACTGAATACATTCACTAACAGTCAATTCAAACATTTATTTACTTTTTCCTTCCCAAGAGGAAAGCTAGTATATATTTTGTCAGATTTTTTTTCCTTTACATACTAAATTCTTCCTATTCTATAGCACATTGTGAAGATTCCAACAGAAAATTTAAAAAGAAAAGTAAATCATGAAACCAAGTAAACCACTGCTCTATGAGCAGGTAGCAAACTTGATGAGTCACTTTAGTTAGTCAAGACAATAGTAAGAGCATCTCCAATTTCCTTTATTATTCACTCCTCTGATCCGAGTTGCCAGCGAGTAGAGAGAAGAAAATAAAACATTCACAGTGTATTTTCCTTTCCAAACAATCCATTTTCAAACCAAAACTTGATATTTTTAAGAATTACATTTGCATAAAATTAAAGTCTTTCTATAAATATGAAAATCATCATCATTATTTTTTTTTTTTTTTAAATGATAAAATTACTAAAGATCAATCATTAAAAAAATCTTCCAGAAATATAAAAAAGTTTTGGACCAACTTTATGTATATATTAATGAGAAAATTTAAATGGAGTGTCTCATTTTGGGGCTTGTCACATAGTATCCAGCATTTAAATATCTGTCAAAAATGTACAACAACAATCTATGGTAAATCTGATAATTTGAGCAGAGATAACTCTTCAATGCAAAACTGAATTGGCATCAAAATCTATCCAATATCTAATAAGATTTAAAAGAAATCAATTTACTAGTAATAATTTAATAAGTTAACTGTGAAATCTTAAATACAGTTTGTGTAAAGTAAACTAATCTAGGTTTTAAGTAAAATTTATGCAGATACTTTTATAAAAAAAACATTTTAATTGAAAGCCTTTTTCTTTTATAATGTTAGTGTTTCTCATTTATTTTTTACAAATGTGTTACATGTAAAAAGGGTCTGGATTTAAGCCCCTGGGTTAACAGAATTTGGAGGGCCCCCTTCATTCTGTATAATCGAGGGACTCCATTGAATTTAAAAAGACCCACTCCAACCAGACAGATCCAAATATTCTAAATGGTTTCAAATTAGTTCAAGGGAGCCCCATTAAATCTGAAAATAAATTTTTCATTTTATCTTTATATTTTTTTAGTTTTATCAGGGGCTCAAAGACTAGAGAGTCCTTGAGGGCCCCTCTAGTCTTGGGGCACCAAGAGCTGCAGCCTGTACTAGGACATATATAAATCTGGCACTACATGTAAGGAATAATAAGGACGGTGGGGGCCTCCAGAAAGATTTAACTTTAAATCAATTTCATCTTGGCTGATATTTTAGAAAATTTGCTTTCAAATTTTAGCTGTCCCCTTTGTTGAAATGGTCTGTCAGGGATTTGCCAGGCAAATGAATGTATACCCTCTAGAAGAAATACCCTGGACTTATATTGAGTGCCATGGCAGAAACCATTATCAAAAACAAGTGAAATAGGCCAATCTCACAGCAAAACATTAGTTTCTATTAGCTGGTGATTGTGAGTTCAATTCTTGTGCTGGTGTTATTGTTCTATATACATAAGTATATAGAACAATAACACCCTTACTCACCTGTCAAAAGAAATCCCCATCAAATTCGACCCATTAATCTCAATAATACGATCCTCCGTTTTCAGGCGACCATCACGGCTTATTTTACTCCCAGGTTCAATCCTCTGTAGGAGTAAACCAGTCTCTCTTAAAAAAAAAAAAATAAAAAAAAAAAAAATTAAATGAATAAATTAATAAATCACCTGAAACAAAGAGAAAAAAATGTACAAACACAAAATTAAAGTAAATCTTACTTAAAAAGATAAACACTGAAATACACTTTATAGATTTTTTTATTTTATAACTGCATAAATAAATAGCATTGAAGCAATAACAAGTGCAATTTAAATCCACAGTTATGTCTTGCTTCTTTTTTCTGATTTAGCAAAACTTGAATGCAGATATAATTTTACCATTTCAGCCACTGTGGCTGGAACAAATTCTACCAGGATAATCACCTACTGTAGAAGATTTTAAAATCAGTTGCCAAAAAAAGAAAAATTTTTTCAAAGCAATCTCAATTAGGTAAATTGACAGGAACTGATAAAATATTTTTATAGTATATCATTACTGTATTCAAATCATTTTTAGATATCATAATGCATATCATATCTTGGAACTGAAATAACAATATCTACAAAATAACTTAGGAGTTCATGATTTAAAAATAAAATAAATTTCATTTGGTTAATAATGAAGAGATAATGTGTTTAAAAGAAAAATCAGATACTGTGTCTCCTGTTCTATCTGTGGGTTTTCTTCCCCCGACCCCAAAAAACACCCAAACAATACTTAATAATGGTCCAAATAAACAAAAATAGTGATGATGGCAATTCTAATATGCCAAAGAGAAAACAAACATTCTTAGCTTAAGCAATCACAATTTTGACTTGTTTTTAACAACACCTCAACAACAAATGTTATATCTAATACAAGAGATATTACCTGTCCAAATTTCTGAGATTAGGAGTTATTAATTACATTCAGACTAATGGCCACATCTTTATTTCCATGATACCAACATTTCAGGACAATGGTGTTGATTTACAGATTTAGATTCAATGAGAGCAGGCAGTACTAGATAAGAAGATGAGATATACCTAAACAAAGAAAGGAGAACAATCTACCCTTCATAAATTAAATAAAGGGTTCAATTCAAGATTCCCAAATTGACAGACACCTAAATAAAGTTGGAGAGCACAACAGTTGAAACACTGTGATAACAAAGATGAGGGAATTACTCCAAAGAAACTTCATTGGATATATATATATATATATATATATATATAAAAATCACACACATACACAGAGTTGCCATTTTATATTTTTAATTTTGTGCATACATATTAGTTGTTTTTAAGTTTATTGACTGCACAGTATAGTAGATTCAGTTGGGCACGATATGTGACCCAATTCACTCTACCAGAAATTTGGAAATGTCATGCTGTACTGCTTGGCATTCATGTCGGAAGCTCCAATATGAACATTTCAGAGTGTTTGGATGTCAATCTGAGGACAGTCCAAAGAATTCAGAAAGAGTTAGATGAGTTTAATAGTGATTACAAAGGTGTTTGAAGTGATCACTAGTGATGGCAACATTATGCCTCCATTCATCTTCTAAGCGCAGAGGCCTATATCAAGTGCCTTGAGGAGATAGTGCTGCCCTGGGTCAAGAGGGTGTCTGCTGGAAGATTCTATGTCTGGCAACAAGACTGCACCATACCACACAAGCAGGAGAACCCAGTCATGGGTGTCAGGCAATTTTTGTGTTAGCATCCCCCCTTTACATCTGGCTACCTGACTCCCCAGACTTGCAAACCCCTTGATTATTATGTGTGAGGCATAGGTGAGCGAGAGACCAACAGAACTTGTAACACAAAAGATGAATTGAAGGCAAGGATTATGGCAGCATTCACCAACTTAAACAAGGAGACCATCCAGAAGATTTGCAGGAGATTCCAAAGTTATCTGGAGGCTGTGGTTGAAGGTATTTTTGTGTAATTTTTAATAAATATATCTGTTAAAATGAGATATCAATGTTATTTTCATTTTTGCATAATTTACACAAAAATTTATTGATCGCTATATATATATATATATATATATATATATATATATATATGTGTGTGTGTAAAAACCAAAACCATTGATGGAACCAACGGACAACACTGAAAAAAGGAGAAAAAAAATAAGGCCTAAAAACAAACCTGCCTATTCAGTAAAGCAGTCAAAGCAGAGATTGTCTTGACAGAGCAAAAAATGGTTAACGTTATTCCTATGAAAAGATTGCCCTAGTTATAACTAGAGTTTCACAGGAAAATATATATATATATATATATATATATATATATATATATATATATAGATAGATAGATAGATAGATAGATATAGATAGATAGAGATACAAATGAGAGAAAGAGTTGTCTTAAAGTTGCCGAAACACAAAAGCTATTGTGTAGCGATTCCAACGTTTTTGTTATAATCTCTTATACATATAAGTTAATATGAATCATTATGAATAGAAACTAGATTCCAAAATTTGCTGCATGCAGGATTATCATTCATTTTTTCTTATTTTATTCTTTTTCACAAAAAGAATAAAATAAGAAAAAATAAATGATAATTCTGCATGCAGCAAATTTTGTAATCTAGTTTGTTCTTATTTTTTTTAAATGGTTCATTTAAGGCAAGTTTTCACATTCATTATTCTATATCCATAATAGTGAGTGTCAGGTTATATGCACCTTTGGAGTTCACCAAATTTATGCATCTTGGTATTATAAATTAGTGGTAAAATATATATCTTCTGTGAAATAATAGTTTTTCTTATTGGACAGTAATAAATATTTCTTTTAGGCTATATTTTATAAAAAATAAAAGCATGTAACTTACTTGTCATCTTCATCATAATCTGGTACCACATGAATGCCAAGTGGTTCCCCATCATTCTTCAATGTTACAATTATTTCAAGTTCTCTACAAATAAAGGAAAATAGATAAATATTTTATAGCATTAAAATTCAACATTTTTAGAATATTGAGAAAAGTAATTCAATGCTATGATTTTTTTTAGCAACAGAACAACATTTAAACATAAAATAATAATCACAGTTTCAACTAGGATAGCACTTAAAACATTTTATATATTTCTAGATTACTCTAGCTTGCATAAACTTATATATATATATAAGTATATATTCAACCAAACCCCACACTGACCAACTACAATTGTGATACACAAACACATAAAAATTATACACAGGAATGCCACTTGACAGGACAAATTCATGTCTGGTTTACTTAGACCATACATGAAAAAAAAAAAAAAAAAAAAAAATTAAAAAAAAATAAACAAAAAAACAGAATTTTCTTTTCTCCTCCATATTTCATTTTCTGATCAGATTTGAATAAAAAGCTAAACATGTTAAACTATATGTTTTACTTCAAATGTTGTTATTATTATTAGTAGTAGATACCTGTATTTGAGTAGATACACTGTTTTATTTTCAACAGTATTTGTCTACCATCCTGCACACTATTAGTAAAATAATGTATCCTCCAGCAGGATTTGAACCTGTCTAATCCAGTGTGCTTTAACCACTCTGCTATAAAGAGCTTCACAATCAAGCAAGGTTCTATTTGGCTTTAAAGCACACTCACTCATTCAGATTATCTCGAAAGGCATATCTGCTCAGTTTCATATCCAAAACATAAACAAAGCAATTTCAAAAGAATTAACGATTTTTTTTTTTTTAATTCAGACATTTTTATTACTTCAGATATTATTTTTAGCAGATACTTGTATTTCACTAGACACTTCATTTTATTGAGTGAATATACTTTAAAGGTAAATAAAACCTTGCTTGATTATGAAGCTCTTTGTAGCCAAGCAGTTAAAGCATGACACATCAGATGGTGGTTTCTCTTGCAAAGGGGGATGCAAATTTGAATCTTTTCGCAAGTTTTCTCTAGTTAGACTGTTAGACGAAATAGATACTGTTTAAAATAAAACTGAGCGTCTACTCAAATACAGGTATCCACTAATAATAACAATAATTAGTAATTATATATGTGTGTGTGTGTGTGTGTGTAAAAAAACAAATTTCTTTAGTTCCTTGGTGATTTGTTTGAAACTTCTGAATTTAAAACTTTCCCAAGGATATCAGTGCTGTAATTACTTTTTCCCCCCCCTCCAAGGGATTTGGTTTGCATAGTTTAACATGGAAAGCTTGACAGGTCCAGCAGTCATCAGTCATTCTCATTATATAGCTCTAATTACCATGTATGGTGAATAGTAAGTTGTAGACTATTTTAATACTGTATTGTATGTACTTTAAGCTAAATACAACCCTTTGCCTAATAATTAAGACTACTACTACTTAAATAATTCTATATAAAAAGATTAATAGCAATAGAAGTATATGAAGCATGTTAGAGTCAATGAAAAGTCAATGAAAGCAAATATTAGAAGCATATATCATAGTTTGTTTCTTTTGGCCAAATGGAGGCATGAGGTGGAAGAAAATCAGTGGAAATGAAGACAGAGAAGTTCTCTTATATTTATTTTCTCATTTTATAAGTGTATTCATTTTTGAATTGGTAAATGTATATTTTGGCTTATAATCATATTTTGCTAGGCTAAACAGTCTAGCCGAAATTTGGATATATCTGCATGTGAAATGACAAAAAGAGAAAACAAAAAGAAAAAACAATTTGCTTACTTAGAACACATTTAATGGGGAGAGAGGGAAGGAAAATGCAGTGGTTGGTGGGAGCGTAATTTGGACTGGGCACCTTGAATGTATTCTTTATATTAAATAGATATAGTTAGATTCTTTAAGAATGAATTCAAAGAAAGATGGTGATACAATGTAATGTTTTTGGTATGTGTTTATAGTTGATAATAATGTTGTTATTAAGTTTTCAATGTATTTTCTCCTTAAAGAATTATGTTCTTTTTTTAATTAGAGTGGCATTAGAGAAATCAAAGTGATGTCCAGTATTGTTTTGATGCAAGATGGGAGAGTTAGATTATTTGTCCAAATACAATTCTCTATTGTGTCCATAGATACAGGCTTTAGATCACATGATGTCTCCTGCACATAAACATATTTGGATTATAAACAACTTATTTGATAAATCCCAGCATTTGAATTGGTGTTGGGTTTATTTTTCTTCCTAATTATATCTCCGATTGTCTTGGAGGTGGTGGTAGCCATCCTAGTATTAGGGATGACTAATTTGTTTGTGAATTTAGTAGAAAACGTTTTGGAGGGCAGGATTATGAATTTTGTGTAATTTTTGTTAAAAGTGTTTTTGGTGGTGTCTGTTTTTTTTTTTTTGGCTATGTGGATTTTGTAAGCTCATTTTTTAGCGTTAGATGATGTGAGTAGTGGAGAAGTTTGAAAGTTTTCTCCATATATTTCTCTCCTCCATTTAGGTATTCCGGGCTACATATCTTAAGGGCTGTGAGGTAGAATCCTATGACTAGTCCACATTTTATTTTTTTATTGTGGTGGGAATAGAAGTTGATTAGATCGTTTTTGTTTGTGGATTTATGATATACTTTAAAATCTGATTTTTCATTATTGTATATTAATAAGATGTCAAGAAAAGGTACAGAATTGTTTATTTCAAATTCATGTGTGAATTCAATGGTAGGTTCAATGTTATTAGTCTAATAGGTTTGTATCTTGGGGATATAATGACGTCATCTATATATCTTAGATAAGTAGAGATGTTTGGTATGATGTGTCTAAAAGAGAAGCAGTGGTTAGTTTTCATATTTTTATAATTTTGCGGATGGGTAGAAGGTTTTCTTTGGAATTTTTGAGCTGGTTTCTCAGTATGCTGGGGCATTTCATGATGGATATGTTGCTGTATAATGATTTGATGTCTAGGTTTACCATAACCATGTTTTCCACATTTACATTTTCCAGTGTTTGATATGTGTTCTGTTAATGGTTCCTAGGAATGGAGTTAGGCTTTTGCAATGGCTCTAGCTAATTTGTTAGGTGCACTGTTGATACTGGACACAATGGATCTGATGGGTATGTGTATTTTGGGTAAGCCGTATAGTGGGTGGTATTCTATTAATCTGTTCCAGGATTTGGTTTAAGAAACTATTAAAAAAATTTAATAGTTTCTTAATTTTGTTGAACCTTTGTGTGTCTGTGTTTACTGTTTGTTCATTGTAGTGTAGGTGTTATTGTCATTTAGAACTCTTTCTACTAAACAAATCCCTAATACTAGGATAGTTACCACCACCTCCAAGACAATTGGAGATATAATTTAGGAAGAAAAATAAACCCAACACCAATTCAAATGTCGGGATTTATCAAATAAATTCTTTACAATACAAATATGTTTATGTGCAGGAGACATCATGTGATCAAAAGCCTGTATCTATGGACACAATAGAGAATTGTATTTGGACAAATGTTCTAACTCTCCCATTTTGCATCAAAACAATACTGGACATCACTTTGATTTCCCTAATGCCACTCTAATTAAAAAAAGAACATAATTCTTTAAGGAGAAAATACATTGAAAATTTAATAACAACATTATTACCAACTATAAACAGACACCTAAAACATTAAATTGCCATCATTCTTTGAATCCGTTCTTAAATAATCTAACTTATATCTAATACAAAGAATACATTCTTAAAGAGGTCAGCCATAAATTAGAACCTTGTGACACCCCACTGCATGGGCTGACCACACAAAGATATCAGAACTCCAACTAGACAGACACAAATACACAATTACAAATACACATTGCCATCTGATGCCCACTGACCAAAGAGAACTGATCCAAACATAATTGAAAATACCAGTGCTTCTCTCTTTTTGTCCATTTTCTTTCAATCTCTGACGAAACTTTAATAAAAGTGAAACATATTAGATTAATATGTTTCCACTAGTTATATATGAATTTAAAAACTAATTATTTTTCATTGCATAATAAGACAGGCATCCCTCAATTAATGCATTTTCAATTAGTGTGCTAACATTTTTATATACCAAAATAAAAAAATTGATTAGTACATATTAGTACATGTCTCGATTAGTGCAGGAAAACATTCTTCAGTTCAATCATAGTAATTGAAAATTGATTTTTTTATAGTTACCAATGTACAAATTAGCCACACACTAATCAAGGGATTCCTGTATAATGTAACAGTCTTCTTTTTATATACCATGTCTCTTTAAGGCATGGGTGATCATTATATATATATATATATATATATATATATATATAAAAATAATAAAAGTTAATGGTCAGAGCTGAATCAGACCAGGAAACAGTAGTATTAAAAAGTACTCAATACACATGAGAAAAAAAAATAAGTAAAAACATAAAAATTTAATTGATGTCCTCCTCCTGATTTTTAAAGTATATATATATATATATATATATATATATTATGCCCCTTGATTTCTTGGGGAATATAGAGCCACAATAACACCACTCCAATGGATGCAGTACTGGGCAATCTTCTTCAGCTCGGCCCATGTCATGCCGGCATGGGTGATCATAGTGCTTAGCAATATTTATTTTTCACCATCACTCCTGCAGATTGTTCTGCTATCCATTTATGCAAACCTGTTAGGTAGATTAATTATTGTCTCTCTCTGTCCCTCTTGCCTTCAATGTGTCTTGCAAGTGTCAAATTTCCAAAACCTTCCTTCCTTCATTACGTGACCTAGAAATTTTAATTATCTCTGATTCTAAGTTCAAGCATCCTTTTTGCTTTCATTTTCCTTAAAACTTCATTACTCATATGAACTGTCCATAATATTCTCAGTATCCTTCTGTAGAATCACATCTGTTACCTGAAGTCTACTCTACATCTGAGGAAATTGTCCAGTATTCACAACTATATAGGAAGACTGATATTACATAACATTTGGGCCCTCTTTTCTTTGCTTCTAACAAAATTTTCTTTGCTTAGCTTTTGGAAATCATTTTTTGCTCTTCCAATTCACCTCCTGATTTATTACATTTCTCATTCTTTATTAAAACATTTCCCAAATATTCATATTTTCATACTTGTTTGATTTTGACAATTTGTCGTTCTTATCCTAGGTTGTTCCTCTTGCTGACAACCATACATTGACTTCTAGTTTTCCTTTACTACTTTGTCTTGTAGCTCCTATAGTTTCCTTTCTCTATCTGGCATCAACACAGTATCATCTGCATATCTGTTAAGGTTATGTCCACTAATAACAAATCCTGATAAGACTTCTAGTTCTCTTAGGATCCCCTTGTTGTAACTGTTGAATAATCAGAAGACATATGCTTGCTTGTCTTTTGCCCCTTTCTATTTTTGTATACTTAATTTATTTTCTATCCATATGTGGACAGTTTGTTCCCAGCATAAGTTTTGGATTATTCTAATATCATTCCCAAAGAAATCAAGTTTTCCTAGCAGTTCAAATAATTTTTTGTACTGTACTTTATCAAATGCATTTCTATTACTCTTTGAGATTTTAATAAAAAAGGGAGTCTTCAGTATTTTTTGTACTTGTCTGGTAATAGGTAAACTACTGTAAATACATTATACTTCAAAAGTGAGTATTAAAATGACAGAGAAAATAAGTTATTTGATAAGTGTTGCCTGAAAGTTTTGATGAAAATACAACTTCCTCAAATATATAATTTTATTAATGCACAGTATATATAACTACAGAGATCAAGCTTTATAAGTCATGACTAAAATCTAACATTCATTTATTTCCCAAGTGTCCAAATTTTTCTTTAAAAAATGTAATGCCTTAGTAAAGTTTTTTTTTTTTAAGAAAGGTTCTGTTTTTTTGGAGTGAGTAAAAACCTGGAAGGAAATTTGAAAAGAAAAATGTTCCATTCCTGATAACAATCTTCAATATTTGATAGAGCCCATCATGAAGCAGGCGATCAAGATGATCAAATGCAATAATTGTTGCAGAATAAAACTCAGCATACTCCCTACTCTTCCCTACTAATGTGATAATAGACTGCTCCTATTTATAAATATGGCAAGTAGCAACATTAGAGTAGTATTTGATTTACTTAAGTTATTCCATTCTATGTATGAGTATTTAATAAACCTCTTTGTTTCCTCTAACTAGACTTCTGTTCCTTTGATACTCTAACTATGGCCTTCTTAATTCTTGGCTATTTTGAACAAAGACAACATTATAACAATAACATAAGTATTGCAGGGTTGTCTTTTCACTGAATGATTTTTATCAGTTTAGGGTTTTTTTTTAAATTTTTATTTTTATTTTACTTCTATAATATTCCAGCTGACAGAAAATAAAAGGAATTTATTGTTAATTTCCTTCTATATTATAAACAGCTTCAAGTACAAGTAGTTGATAGTCTCCCACAATTAACACAATGATCTCCAAGGGAAATGGAACAGTCTTGTAACCACCAACTAAAAAAGACAAAACAAAAAAGAAAACAGTAACTTACTTTTCAGCCACATTGCTATTAGTTTCTTTCTCAATGCTGCCACCAACAGGTTCTTCTCTTCCATCTTGAGCCTGAAATTACCAAATATGAAGTTGGTCATTTTAAATTAAGAGCATAAGAAAATCTTTGATATTTCTGCTGTATGAGTGATGTAATAACAAACCTTGGAGGATGAAGGAATAATGATAATGTTTTTATTAAAAAAAAACAAACTTTCAAACAAGTGCCAATGATTTGATATTGGTAGAAAATTTTATGAAAAAATAGGCATCATAACAATTTTTAAATATCTGGAAATCCTTAAATTAGATAATTTCTGTTTGAAATTTTGGGATCAGGTGTTATTTTTACATTTGGATCTATGATATGACCTTTATTATTCTTATTACATTGTGACTGCCAGCCTTCTTCTGAATTGAACTCTTTATTTAATTTACAAAGATACACTATTCTTTCTCCACTTTGCATGTCTAGGAATATCTTGTTTGGTTCATTCCATTGCTCAGTAGTTGTTTACCCTGTTTCCAGTGAGTTTAAGTTTGTACTATCCAGCTTAGGGATTGATCTATCAATTGCTATGTGAACAAATTCATTGATAGACACATGAAGAAGGCCAAAGGGAATAATAGTGGAAGCATTGTGATAACAAAGACAAGGGTATTAGTCCAAGTGTAAATGCTAATATCAAATATTTCTCCATGTTTTAATTCTATCCACAAAATATTTAAGAATTCATTTAATGCTACACAATTATCATTAGGTGTTTTAGCCCCACAAAGACATGTTCAAGAATTTCTGGCACAGTCTAAATTGTTTAGTTAAAGATTTGGTAATATGAATATCCAAGAAGATTGTTCATAATTATCTTCAGCGATACATTTGGTGATCATTTGTTTTAGAACTGAAAGATGGGAAAAGAAGTTTTCCAAATAAGATTTGTTCAAATCTAATAAAAACAACAATTCTTTTGTAGCCTAATAGAAGTCTATATTATCATCAAAATATTTGTAGGCCATTAAATCATCCTGTGTATGTCAAACTACATCCGGCAGCAAGGCCTCTGATTGGAAGGTTTTGAGGAGTGTGGAACCACCTATTAGGGTTCTAGATATGGGCAAATAGTACCCCCCCACCAAACTGGGTTCAAAATGAAAGTATAAAAATAAATTTTCATAGTAAAAATACCAGCAATACATTTTTGAAGAAAAAAAATCACCAGCAATACATTTTTGTAAATGAAATTAATAATGCTCCTAAGAAAATTAAATTTTGGCATAAGCATAACCCATAAAGAGTTGATATGCCATTTAACAAACAAACAAATATAAGCCATTAAAATTTGAACATAAGCAGTGAATAAAGTGAAGAGAAAATCTTTGATCAAAAACGTGAAGGTGTAAATGAATGAAATGGTAAATTTAGAAAGTAAGCAGAGTCACAAAACTCTGCAGATTAACATTACCGTTAAAAATAGTGCAGTTTTCACTAGCAACCATTGAAGAACATTCCAAGCTATATGCTTAGCATGATTCCGTTATCTCTTAATGGCCTGGTTGCCCTGACACTAAAGCACTATACAACTAAAGTACTTATTCATCAACTCCTGGTCATGCATGGTTGACAGAGCCATCTCTCATCTGCAAAGGTAACTAGCTACTTAATGCTTACAAGTCACATACTTACATACCTAACATTCTACCTAAATATTTTAGTAAGGTAGAGAATACTAGTTTTGTAGTAACACCTATCAAGCTAGAAATATAGAGAGTTTCATTGCTATATCAGTTTTGTTTTAGTCATGAACAAAAATTTAATAAAGCTGTTCTCAAGTGATCTGATTTCAAATGACTTATGTTAGTAAATGTAACATTTTTATAATTAAAACGTTACTATATAAATTGGTTATTAATAAATATAAATTTAATATATAAAAGTTATATCTGTGAGTGGCAATTGATTTGTTTACAGATTGAAACTAGTAATTTCTAAGTAACATTTTGGATAGAAATGTGTTCAACTATTTCATTGAATTAATATAGGCAAACCCTTAATGTATACAATATTCAGTGATTTCAGTACTCTATTGTCAATATAAGTTTAAATTCATCTTTGTCTTTTTACTGTTAAATCACTTCTTGTTCTAAAATTTACCATTTAATGAAGATACAGAAAAAAAACAATTTCACTTATCAAATACAGTTTGTTGCTAGAATTATTAATTGGAAAAGAATTTTCAAGGATCCAAATTATTTCATAGAATATAGAAATTAATTTTGATTATACATTTAAGAAATTCAAATATTAAAAAAAAATTATCTAAGAAAGAAATAAAAACACATGACAAATTTTGGACTTTGGGCTTGACTGTGCTGAATTGAAAATCTTCCTGGTGTTTTGCCCTAAATTTATTCTCTCAAGTAAACAATTTTTTATATATATATATATATATATATATATATATATATATATATATATATATATATATATAATATTGCAAAAGATAGCTAAGATGAGAAATTGAAAAAATGTATTTGGCTTCAGTCACTTTCTCACTGCCATAATGTAGCTTTTCTGTGCCTTTTCTATAAACACTTTCATTGTAATTGTTTGGATGAACTCTTTGTTATGGTACCTAGGCTTTAGGAGTTTAAGCACAGTACTAGATTGGCAGCAAGGTCTCATCAATTCACAGTTGAAGTGGTTTCTTCTATTGCACTTCTCACTTGTGGAACCCTCTTTTGGCCCCATTCCAACATTTTCAAAAATTTAAATACAGTGTCAATTGTTATCTAATGTTTTCTTAATTACTCTTTTGTTCTTTTTCCTTTTTTTTTTTTTCACACTCAGTTATCTCTTCTGTCTTAATGGCTTTACTGCTTTGCATGGTGTGAAATGATAAAAAGAAAGAAAAAAGTGTCTAGAAAATGCTGTGATTGTCTGAAGAATTGACTCCTCAAACAGTCATACTATGGGTCACTGTTTAGTGAAATATTATCTCATATTGTTGAAGGTCACTACTATATACTTACCTAGCTTAATGAAAAAAAAACCCCCAAAAAAACAAAAAAAAAAAAAAACCATCAAAGCAATTTCTGAAAAACATTGATTTTTCATGCAAGGAAGAAAGAAGGAAGTATAATTATTCACATTCTCCTAAATATACAATCATTTACTTAACAAATGCATTTGTATATTAGCATGCATTTCATAAATACTGATAAAGAAAAAGTCTAAGAGAGGGAGGGAGAGGGACCATGTATAGATCCTGGCAACAAGTAATAGGTTTAAGTAAACATTTCAACTATTAAATGATAAAAGTGGATGGAGTCTGGTTTAACACAGAAAAAGTATTTGACAATACATTCTTATATCTATTGACTATATTGAATAGACACAGTATTTTTAGGTCAATGGGCCTAACAAAAAAAAAAAAAATACTAAGCTAAATAAATTTCAGTTATTTAAAGCTAAGTCCATAAATTATTGAGGCTGAAATTATTCTTGCATTCATGGAAACACCAAATGTTATTTGTTTGATAGAAACATTTTGTTTTAATACTGTAGAATTTCAAGTGGCTTACCTCCAATGTCACCTTTACAAAAAGGTTATTTTATAAAGCTTTTTCAAATTAACACTTTTTTTTTTTACAGTGAGGTTCACCCTGTACAAGGCCCAGGGGGTCACTCAAAGTAAAGCGTTACAGAAATAGGTGGGGGAAAAATAACTGATAACACTAGACTTGAATAGATTAAGATTATAGTGATTGGGAAAACATTCACTTAAGAGTTGGATTAAGTGCAGTGTACAGAGCAATGGTTCACAGGAAGAAACTGCTCGAATGGAACTTCTCACCAATGGAACATGGAGGGAATGAGGGTTGGTTGCTACAATGTGAGTGGCATGGTGGGTCCTGGCCGTGAAGGTTAGAACTGGTGGAATCAAGGAATTTAGTTTTTGCCCAAGCATTTTCCATGGAATTAGCAATAGAGCAGTGAGAGGCTTGCCATATCCTGTCTGTGAGAGAGGGGGTTGAAGGGTGGAAAATAATTAGTCACCATCACAGATTCTGAGACATTTTATGACTATAGAGACAGGAAAGTGAGGAATGGGCAGCTCCAACCCAACTATAACAGCTATACTCCATTTTCGACCTTATCTGGCTCTTGTAAAGGTAGAGTATAGCACAAGGAGTCAGGTACTTACTGGGGGCAATAAACTGTACTTAATTTTTTAGACCCAATTTAGTGCGTCAAAAAAACTTTAAAAAATTAGAAAAATTCATTATTATAGATACAGCAAGAAAAACAAATTGAACAAACTATGAATAAGGTAGATTACAATGTTAATCTGTTTAAATATTTAAATTCAAGAAAAAGGATGCACAAGAATTAAGAGTTACATCCCTTAGATTTAATTTTGCCCAAAATTCATGCCACTTTCAAAGAGTGAAATTTGGGTGGAATCATTTGCAATAAATCACCAATAAGCATTTTGTTTAATTTATATTTCAATTTATAATTGACAATTTTTTTTTTTATTAAAGAAGCACCATAGTCAATGACTGTAACAAATCAGCAAATAGAAACTTTCATACTTTATTTACTATTTAAATGGATTGCCTTATAATGTGGACTACATGTTTGTGCAGGACTTAAAATGAGAAGAATTTTGAAGATTTTCATTAGGTCAAACGTCTTGTCAAATGCTCTATCAAGAGAGAAAAATATACTAAATAAATTTTTATTTTTTATATATAAATATCTCTATATATATATATATATATATATATATATATATATATATATATATATATATATATATATATATTGCTTTTTTTTATATGCTCATGTGGTAGCTTGTGTATATTTACACACTTATGTGCACATATGTATGAATGTGCTTTATATACTTATATATATCAGCAGTTTTAGATCTGCTTGTCTGAATCGTCTTCAATAAGTGAGAGCAAGATCTAAAAGGTTAGCCAATCTAACAGTGATCTTATCCCACAATCCTCACTCTTGCTCCATATGTGGCCTCCTTTGTAAATCACTAGCAGGTCTTAAGTGC